ATGGCTCTTTTGCAGTTCTTTTTATGTGTATGTCAGTACATCAACATGAATGGTTGTTATTATTTAAACATCTTAAAATTTACACATTTATACAAGAAAGGTAAGGCAAAAAAATCACTAGGCTCATACCAAGAAATTCCAAGGTAGAAACTGTGAATGTCTATTTAATTTGGTACCACATTACAAAAATCCAAGCATATTTTACCCTGGTAAGACTACATTGCAAAATGGAAATATTTTAAATTTAAAGACATAGAATGAAAGAAATATTTGAGACAACAATTTTAATAATACAGTGTTATCTGTATTACCTCTAGCTTCAGGCTGATGCCATCAACGCTTTCGGAGAATCACTACAAAAGAAACTCCTGGACATTGAAGGATTATATTCAAAAGTTCGATCTCGTTATAGTTTCATACAGGCTCTTGTCAGACGTATCCGTGGCCTACTGAGGATATCAAGGAACTGAGCCTGTTCTTTTGCTCTTCAGTGGAAGAGATAAATTGGGAAACACTGTCTTCTTTTTATAGTTTGTTTCTAAATTATGACCAAAAAATATTTTGCTATTTCTTTCTTTATATATGGACATTTTTTTCTGTAAACTCTTTGCCTCATTTCATCCTCACTTGTAAAAAAAAAAATAAATCTTTTTTAAAAAAACAAAGCAAATGTATGGTCACTCTTTTGAAATTTTAACTAGGACATGATCAACATTACTGAAAATCTAACAAATTTCCACATTAGTAGTTTGCCCCTAAAGACATTCTGAACATTAAAATAAAGGCATAGTCTGGGAACCCTAACTTTTTTTGCTCATTGTACTTACATTATAATTTTATGATATTCATGGTTACTCCATGGGGTAAGGTGGATAAAGAGCTCTTGCCATCCTTTGTTATTGAATAGTCTGCAATACCTGAAAGCATATTATAGAAATGCTCAAAAAGTCATCTCTCTCCTAAAATTAGGTTTTACCCTTTTTTCCTTTTCAGCACATAAAATGACAGTATGTTAATTTGCATTTGTTCCTTACAAATAATTGTGACATTTCTCAATCATCTTTCAATATTTCTCATTAATATAATGGGTATCTCTAGGATTAAAAAAAATTATATAATCACCACTATTTCCCAGTTATATTCAAGTGACTGTGTCATCTGAGGGAACATTTTTTCCTTTCCAACCAGCAATTATTTTAACCTAATATATAGGAGAGACTACTAAGAGGGGAATAAGTCTTGATTCATGTAGAAACAGAAAATTAATACTTAGTTCTATGGTGTTGTGGTGTTTTCTTTTTTAAATCTAATAAAATTTCCATGACTTAAGTATTTTTTTAAAGGCTTGATTATTGTTATATTCTGAAGTTGATTTATTGCCCACTAGTTATAAACAATAGTCTTTAGCTGGACAATAGTTAATAGAAATCTTAGTGGGAGGTAAATGAATGAAATGAGTGGATCCAAAATAACTCTCCTCATGTCTGTTGCTCCACTGCTCAGATAAAAACACACACATACTTTTTTTTTTTTTTGGACGGGGATGAACCTAGGGCCTCACACAAGCTAGGCAAGTGTTCTGCCACTAAGCTACACCCCAGCCTGCATATAGTAATAATCTTTTATTTGGAACACAGGCTCACTTCCTGAATGAGCAGCAAAGCTGTGCATGGAAACTAAGCACTTTATAAACCTGTGAACCCTTCCATACTAGATATTTGCTAAATTTGGAATTGAAATTGTGGGTTTACTAAACACCATTATCTTGTTTTCTTATTTCTTCCAAAAATGTAGCTGATTGTAGATCAGAAGTTGGGGCACTGGAGAAGTGTGAGGGAGTTGGAGGAAGGACTGTAGCTTTATTGTGGTGCTGACCAGAAATGCTTTTTTTCTGACAAGCAGCAACCTGCTTGGGCTTTGTTACCTAGGGCAAAGGGTGTTGGGTACAGCCTGGCCATTCAGCCAAGCAAAGGGGAGGAAACCAGGGTTAGATACTTTTTTTTTTAAAGTTAGCATTTCAAGCAAAGGTTCATCTAATCCTCAAAAATACTAAATTGATGTACGATTTTAATTCATTTTTATTGAGTTCATTAGTTTGTTGGTGTTGGGAAACAAGTGTACTATCTTCCTAGTCGTTATCACTATAGTTTTGACAAATGGATGACATGCAAATTAACATGTCTTATTTGAACTATACACATTCTAGCCTGTTCCAAATATTTGTCTATTGTTTTCCCAACTCTTAAAAATTTTTGAATTAGAATAGTTGGAAGAAAACTAAAAACCAAATACTTTTTACCTAGATTCAAATTCTCAATAATTTGCATATCTTTATGAGTATGTGTTTGTGTTTATACATATGTATCTTAATTTTTTCCTTAACTTGTAATCATGACACTATCCCTAAATATTTTAACAAGAACAATATTTTCTTCTGAACTACAATTATCACATTTAAGACATTTGATAAAAAAACATTTTCTAATAGTATGTCCATATCAAAATTTTCTCAATTGATCAAAAAATGTACTTTAGAACTTTCATTGGACCTAGGATCTGATCAAGAATTATACATTATAATCAGTCATTTTATTCTTAAACAGTTCCTTACCCTTTTGGTGGGGAAGGTGGTAAAGTACTTAAGCAATTTTTGAAAAAGCTTCCACACTTCCACACTTCTTTTGATTAGATTCAGGTTAAACATTTTCAGTAAGAATCCAACTGTATAGGTGATCTTATAACTGTGCCTTAAATACATCATATCAGAGCCCTGTGCATGCCTATAATCCCAGTGGCTCAGGAGGCTGAGGCAGGAAGATCGTGAGTTCAAAGCCAGCCTTAGCAAAAAAAAAAAAAAAAAGATATCAGGAGATTCATAACAGACTCATGATATTAAGTTTGATCTCTTGGTCAAGATGGTGTTTAACACACATCTCCATTATACAGGTTATTTCTTTCCCGTTGTAATAAGTAATCTGTGGGTGATAACTTTGAAAACTTAACAACCATTGTCTTAATTCGAGTATTTTATTTAAAAATTAGGTTCAATCATATAAATAATATAATCAATATAATAAGCATCAAGATACTTAGGCTTACATCATACACCCAATTTATTACTCATTTATTTCCTCAGGTCTTGTTTTTGTGAAAAGAAATATGGTAGATATCATTGAAGCCTCTGTGAAATCCCTGATCCCACTGTCCTACTTCCCTCTCAAGAACTGATCGTTGGGGCTGGGGATGTGGCTCAAGGGGTAGTGCGCTCGCCTGGCATCCGCGCAGCGCTGGGTCAGATCCTCAGCACCACATACAAATAACGATGTTGTGTCCACCGAAAAACTAAAGAATAAATATTAAAAAATTCTCTCTCTCAAAAAAAAAAAAAACCTCATCGTTAATCCTATCCATATGTTTTATACTTCCACTCCATATGGGTATATTCATAGGCATTAAATAGTATTGTTTTGCAAGTTGGTAATGTTTTTATGTGTGTCAATACCGCGTGGAGTAATTTGCAAATTTTTTTCATTCAACATTGTTTTTGATAATTTCTCAAGTTTGTTTATTATGATTATTGAATAGTTACAGTGTCCTATTATACAAGTACACTACTTATGCCTTGTACTAACAGTGGATCTGCAGACATTTAGGTTTCCAAAATTTTGCAAACTACAATGACTATCATCATATGTGTCTCTCTGGATGAGACAGACTCTTAAGAAGGCTTATATAGGGCTAGGAAGATACTGTGTCCACCTATAACTAAAAAAATATATTTTTAAAAAAGAAGGCTTATACAGAGTATATAATTAGAAGTGAAAATCCTGCATTAAAGGTTAAGAGCTTTCCTTTCATCAGACATAATTTTTTTCTTGGTGGTTGCCTCATTGTACCCCTATCTGTGTGACTACACCATGGATAATACTTCCAGTTGTACATTTAATTTTAACGAATCTGATGAGTGTAAAACAGTTAAGTATCTCAATTGATTTGCATATTTGTGTATTATTCGCCATTTTTTCCCCTAATATGCTTCCCCCCCCATTTTCTGTGTAGGGAGTGATTATACATTGAGAATGGCTTTAATTTTTTAAGGTTTTTTTGCAGATATTTGCCTTCAGTCTGTTGACTGATTTTATAGTGTACATTACTGTTTTCGTTTTAAATTATTTTTTCCTCCAATCTGAGATCATAAAGATTTTTCTTCTCTTGGTTTGTCAGAAAGAAGCAATGAGTCAGAGGTATGGAGAAAAACAGAAATGTAGAGAAAATATTTAAATTCCTAATACTGCATTGTTGTCCATCAGATCTGTATAATGCATTCCTGTTTAGTTTAAGCTTGTATGACTTTGAGGGTTTTATTATTTATAATCAGTTCTACTTAATATAGATTAGGTCGATTTGGAGTACTGAGAGCAGGCAGAGAAGGGTGGGTTCACTGTGAGTGTGTGTGTGTGTTAAGGGGTATTTTTGTCTATATTGATCCCCTTTCTTGATCTCAGTTCTACCAGGTAGCTGATGTGAATTGCATTTATACAGGCGGAAACTGAAATTTAGAAGTGTTAGTTGCCCTTGGCTGCCAGATAGTGCAAAGAAATCAGGACTTGGACTCATTGCTGTGCTAGCACCCATATGTCTCCATCTTAACTACTTAAGCACCTAACCTCGATCTTGAGTCCTCAGATAGGGTGCACTAGTGGAGCTTTTGAAAATTCCTCCCTAGTACCTCAGAATCCACGTGGTGTTTGGGTAAATGTTGGGAAGGGTTCCCAGGCCATTGAGCTGCGCATTCAGGGATGGGACGCGCTTCTTCATCCCGTCTTGTGAGTCACGGTGCCCTAAACCTGGCTGTGATCAGAATCTTTGGTGTGCTTGGATGAACACAGATACCTGGGCATCTGGGCAAGTTTACAAAAGCGGAAGTTCAAAGTGGTCCTGTTCTGGCGGCGAGCCTGGGATGCTCCGCTAGGGGGCGCCTCGAGACGCTTCCGGGGGCGTGGCGTGGCCCGGAAGCAGACGGTGGTTTCCGCCCTCGCTCCCGGGCAGGCAGGCTCCGACCGGCCAGTGGAGCTGTAGCCGGGTTTCTGTCCCTCCTTGTGTTCTCGGCCGACAGCATGCTCCAGTTCCTGGTGAGTGGAGCTGCCGAGGAGCGGGACCCGCAGCTCAGGGTCGCCTCGGGATCCGGCCACGCCAGCGGTGGCCCTTGGGCTTTGGGCGCGGGACCGTCCCCGCAGCCCCGTGCCTGTGGTCGCCTCTCGGGGAGGCCTGTGGGGTTTTTTTCTGCCTCTCCCTAGATCCTTTGCCAGCGTTCATCTGCAGGCATCCCAGGTCTTAAAACTTGGAGGGGAGTTCAGGGCGCTCATTGTGTAATCCTCCCTTGCAAGCTTTGTCATTAGACGTCCTTAGTGACTTTTTGTAGTCGTCCCCTCTTATGTGCTCCTGTCCCCCGACAAAGGCCCAGGCCCCATCCTGACTTAGAGCCTGATGGTTGGCCGCCACCTCACGAGGTCAGTGAGAGCCTTCGGCAGCCTCACCCGACCTTTTTATAAGTTTCTGACTTTGAGGAGTGAGTCAGACACTGTTGTACAAGTAATTTTTCCCAGAATCCGTTTTTATTTTAGGCGGGGTGGGGGTATGAGTATAACCATGAGTAAGCAGATTATTTCTCATGGCTGCTATTTGAGTTAAAAATGCATTTTCTGGTGAAGGTCGGTTCCTGAGGACTTGCCAAAGTTCCAAGTGAAAGTTTTTGACTAAACTGTTGTGCGTCCAAACTTGATGCTTTCAACCTTTTATTATTGTTGTTGTTCTTGTTGTTATGTAGGGCTGGGGATTGAACCAAGGGCCTTGTGCATGCGAGGCAAGCCCTCTACCAACTGAGCTATATCCCCAGTCCTCACTCTTATTTTATCATCATTAACATCATAATTTTGGTCCTAGTGATTAAACTCAAGGGTGACCTACCACTGAGCTACATCCCCAGCCCTTTTTTTTTTTTTTTAATTGAGACAAGGTCTTGCTAAGTCGCCTGGCTGAGCTGGAATTTGCCATCTCTCTGCTTCAGCATCCCGTGTAGCTGGAATTACAGGTGTGGTTGCCATTATGCCCAACTCAACCTCTACTTCTAATGAGGCAGATATTCTGTATCTTAGATGATCAGTGGAAACCCTGCTGCTCTGGGAATGAGTTGATTTCTCAAATGTACTTTGGAAAGATAGCGATTGGTTATTAAGTCCAGTTAACCAAGAGAGAATCCTAGATCTAAACTTCTAAACAGGGCTACTCCTTTGTCTGTGGGAGTTTCTATAGTGTCTTAAGTGTTAGCTTAGGAGTTACGAGTAATTAGCAGTTGCTTGTAGGAAGCACTTAGTTAAAAGCAGTATCAACCTCTAAGTGTATGATGACATAATTGATTGTCCCACTACATCAGTTGCTCATTGATAAACTGAGGGGTCATCGGCCAGTTACAATTAACTTTTTAAGTGCTTTTGCAGCAGAATTGAGTTTATTTCTGCTGTGTATAAACATGGATTCTGATTTGAGAATTCAAAATTCTCAGCATTGAAGGAGAGATGCTGAAGCCATTGATTGAATTCCTAGCTCTTAAGTAATTAGACTCTGTTGCCTCCTGGCCTCTCTCCTACCTGTTGCTTTTGTTGAAAACAGTGGATAGCATTGCTTTTCACACTGAGTCCTCCTCTTTTACATGATTTACTAACTTTGTTAACTTGGGCAAGTCTTTCTCTTTGTTTTCAGTCATTTCAACTGTAAAACAGGGCTGTCACGTCCTAGTGTTTAAGAGGTTGGACTCCAGAATCAGACTGCTTGGGTTTGAATCCTACCTCTTATCATTCTCAAGCTGTGGGAGTTTGGGTGGGTTATTTAAATTTTCTATGCTTATTTCCTCATCATAGTTTTGTTATAACTTATTAAAAATAAGTTAATATAGTAAATACTTAGTGAAGTTCCAGTGCACTTGTGTTGCTTATATATTCCTTTCTCCTTAAAGTATTTGTCCATAATCCCTATTTCTACAAGTTGTTCCTAGTTTAGCTAAATTATTTTAAGGAAGCTGTTCTAAGGGAAAGCCTAATTGGTATCACTGCTGTGGCTCTGTGCATGCCACTGTGGTACTGTTACTGTTGTCATTTGTTTTTCTGCTTTTGGGCAGCAGTACTTTCAACTCAGATCACCTCATCTTTGATCTTCGTTGGCTTTTGGATCCCGTATCTTGGTACTTTCCAATATTCTTTCATGTTATAACATGCAAAAATTATTTTTTTTCATGGAAAAACCCACAGAGTGAAGGTGACCATCTCTGAGTGCTGGCTCTTCCCAGGGCTGAGGTATCATATCTGCTTGCACTAGTTTGGGAAACTGCTCTCATTTCTCCTGGCTGCTTTTCTCTGTTCTTGGTTACTATGTGTTGTTCAAGGCTTAGTCCTTGACCCTGCTTTATCCTCTACAGACTCACTTATAGGGAATGGGTTCCTTTTCATGCCATCACATCTCACCTGTTTGCAGGCAGCTTCCAAAACTACCTTGAGTCCATCCAGTTCCCTGATATCAAATCAGCTGACCTTTTCACTTCTGCCTCTATCTCAGACTCCACATGTCCAGACCCATTATCTCTTCCTTCCAATTCCTATCCCACCTAATTTCTTTTTCTGTTCTCCTGCTCTCAAATATCTCCCATATTTGAAATGTTGACATAGTCTTTGATTTATTTCTTTTCTTCATTCTTGGGGGTGGTGGTGGTGTTTGGTACTGGGTATTGAACCCAGGGGCACTTTTATTTTTAATCTTTTTATTTTTAATTTCGAGACAGTGTCTCACTAAGTTGCTTAGGGACTCACTGAGTTGCTGAGACTAGTTTTGAACTTGTGATCCTCCTCCTGCCTTGGCCTCCCTAGCAGCTGGAATTCCAGGTGTGTACCATGGCATCTGGCTTCTTCATGCTTCATATTATTTTCCTGCTATATAATCTTGAGCAAGTTTTTTAATTGCTCTCTGCCTCAGTGTTCCCAACATGAAACTGGACAATGCTAATATCTGCTTGTAAGGTTATATCAGTTCTACCTGGTACACCCTTTTCCAGAGTGATACTGGTTTTTCATGAATGTCTCTATTTAATTTACTGGTGCAATTAAAGATGTGAGTTAACTCATGGAAAAAAAAAAGAATTAGAATGTTACCTTGCATGTAATAAGCTGTCAATAAAAAAATTTTTTTGAGCCATTTAGTCTTGTTGCTTATTTAGGAAAAGTTCTCTTTGTTCCCCCTACTACTTTTGCAGAGTGGATAGTTTTCATTCCACTCTCAGACTAGCTAGCTGATATAGAATTTATTATATTTTGAATTGGAAGCGTTATTTTAGGCTCTTCATTTTAGCTAATATGCTGACGGTTAATCTCAGCTACTAAAGGCCCTAGGAAGGGTATGTACAAGGCACTTGGTCAATACTTCGTGATTGATTTTGTTTAAAATTGGCTCTCCAGATTAGTGGGCTGCTTCTGCAGATTCAACTGTGGATCAGAAATATTTGAAAAAAAAAATTGCATTTGTATTGAACATGTAAATTTTTTCCTTGACGTTATTCCTAAATAATACAGCAAAATGACTATCTAAAAATATAAGTAATCTGGAGATGATTTAAAGTATACAGGAGAATGTGTATAGGTTACCATGCCATTTTATAGAAGGGTCTTGGGCATTTGCATATTTGGTAGCTGAGGGGGTCCAGGAACCAGACCCCTGTGGATTGGGACAGCTATATTTAATTGCAGGTCTTTGTCCTTTGCCTCATTACTACTCTCAGTCATAATTCAACTGAATAGTTGCCTCAGCTTCTTTGAGAACAGTCAAACCAGTTCTACATGGTATACCTTTTTCCAGAGTGTTAACTGGTTTTTCATGAATGTCTCTATTTAATTTACTGGTGCAATTAAAGATTTAACAGTTTTTATCCCCTTATTCTTTCTTTTTTTTATTCTATAAGCAAAATTATTGAATATAAAATGTAGCTTACTCTTAAAAATGTGCTTCTCTGTGGCATTAGTAGAAGGAATATAGATTATATCCTTAGATTTTCATTTTAATGTACAGAATGAGTTTTATTATCACTTGAAGTATTGTTAAACTCATTTGAAAATGTTCTCCGCATCAGGTTTAAAAACTAAGGCACAAAAAAAAATGGTGACTTGTTTTGTGCCTCCGTAGAATGTAGAAGTCTTTTGACTGCTTCTCTAGCTGAGTCTGAAATTGAGAAATAAAATTACCAACTTTATTAGTAATATTTAATTTTGTTTTGTCTTTCTTCTTAGTGTAGACTTTCTTACCTTGGGCCATGAATCATTTTTAGGTACCCTCTTGAATGCTAGTTGAAGCTATATTTGCTAAGTAAAATGAGATTATTTTTAGATTTCTTAAATGGTGTATCACTTTTGAAAATGTAATTGATGAGTCATAGTTCAGACTTGTCACATACTTTGGGCTATTGTCAACCGCTGTAAGTTATTGCCAGGAGCCTACTCCAAAAATATATTGTAACTTTATTTGCTAACAACTTTTTGATTGGGGAAGGAATTGAGCAAGAGTCAGTTTACTTTGGATTTGGCTTTGTTCTTTTAAGAGTTTGTGCTTTTTTTACGTTAATAGTTAAAGTATGGTGACTGATCTGCTCCTGTATGTCCAAACAACAACAACAAAAAATGCTGAAAACATTTTTCATCGAGTGTTCATACGGAGCCAATTATCTGACTTTTTCATTCAGTTTATCTCCCTTTTTCATTTCTGACATTTCCATTCTTTTTAAACATTTGTCCATTCTGGAAGCCTCAAAATTGTCTTTGATTTCTTTAGGTTCATCCCAGTGACTGACATTATTTTACCAAATTTTAATAACTTTTTCAGCTTTGAGATCCAATTCATCCATTTAAGATGCATAGTGTTTTGTTTGTTTGCTTATTTTTGTATCGGGGATTGAATCCAGGGAGCTTTACTGCTGAGCCACATTCTCCAATCCCCATTCTGGTTTTGTTTTGTTTTGTTTTTGTTTTTTTGAGACAGAGTCTCCCTAAGTTGCTAAGGCTGGCAGAGAAACTTGGGTTCCTCCCGCTTCAGCCTCCCCAGTCACTTGGGATTACAAGAGCATGCCACTGTCTCCATGCCTGGCAAATTCAGTGTTTTTTAATATGTTCACAGACTACACACATCAACACTATCTCATTTTATACCTAATGTCTCATAACCTCAGAAAGAAACCCTGTACATACTAATATTCATTTCTCATTTCCCTCTCCCCCCAACCCTGGGCAACCATCAATTTATTTTCTGTCTCTGTGAAATTGTCTATTCTGGGTATGTCCTTTAAATGGAATCATACAATATGTGGGGTTTTTTTGGATTGCCTTTCACAGTGTTTTCATGATTCATCTATATCATGGCATGAATCAGTGCTCCATTCCTTTTCATGGCTAAATAATATTACATCCTATGGATATACCACATTTTTTAATCACTTCACTTGTTTATGTACATTTTAAGTTTTTTTCTACCTTTTGGCTATTAATAATCTTGCTAGGAATACACAAGTTTCTTTGTGTGTATGTATGTTTCACTTAAGACTCTTAGGTGTACACTCTTATTTATTTATTTATTTTAGTTGTAGATGAACACACCACCTTTATTTTATTTTTTTATTCTTATATGGTGCTGAGAATTGAACCCAGTGTGAGGTACTCCACCACTGAGCCACAGCCCTAACCTCAAGATATATGCTCTTAAATGGAATTGCGGTATATATGTTAACTGTCTGCTGAGCTTTTTTGAGGAACTGTTAGCCTGTTTTCCAGTGTCACTGTATCGTTTTACATCCCCAACAGCATTTTTTAAAAGTTCCAATTTCTCCACATTCTCAGCCACATTTGTTCATTTTGTTTGACTACAGCCATTCTAGTGAGTGTGACTTGGTGTCTCACAATAGTTTTGATTTGCATTCCCTCAGTGGTAATTGATGTTGAGCATCCTTTTATGTGCTTACTGTCTTTTTGTTTTTTCTTTGGAGAAATTCTTTCAAAACTATTGCCTATTTTTAAATTGAGTTATTTGTCATTTTTACCATTTGATTGTAAGAGTTCTTTATTCTTTTTTAAAAATTTATTTATTTATTTTTCATTTGTTTCAATTAGTTACATATGACAGTACAATGATCTTGACATATCAGATGGGGTATAATTTCTCATTTTTCTGACTGTACAGGTTGCCGAATCACATTGGTCATGCAGTCACGTATATACATACAGCAATAATAATATCTATTTTATTCTGCTGTCTTAATACAAGTATCCCAGATATATGATTTGCAAATATTTTATCTTATTCTGTGGGTTTTCTCTCTCCTTCCTTCCTTTCTTTCTGATGTTCAAAGCCAATCATTTATCTATTTTATTATTTGTTTATGTATTTTGCAATGCTGGGGATCAAACCCAGGACCTTAAGCATGCTAGGCAAGCCCTTTACCATTGAACTACACCCCAGCCTGTCTTTTTTCTTTCTTAATGATAATCTTTGAAACATAAATATTTTTAATTTTGATGAAGCCTAATGTGTCTATTTTTCCTTTTGTCATTCTATGCTTTTGGTATCATAACTAAGAAAACCATTGCCTAGCCCCAAGTTGTGAAAGTTTACTTCATTTTTTCCCCCGTTTTATAGTTTTAGCTCTTATAGTAATTAGGTCTTTGAGTTAATTTTTGTGTATGATGTGAAGTAGGGATCCACTTTTATTCTGTTGTCTCAGCACCATTTCTTGAAAAGACTATTCTTTCCTCATTGATTGCCTTAATACCCTGTTGCAAATTACTTGACCATGAATGTAAATGTTTGTTTCTGGATTCTTCATTCATGTTTGCTTGTTTTCTCATGTTACCACATTAATCTGTACTTAGCTTTTTTGAGGTGAATGCTTCCAAAGCTGGGTTTTCATCCCATTTCTGCTGTTGGAGGATAGTCACTGGCTACCATATTATGGGAATGAAACTCCTTTGCTTGTTTTTTAAGGTCTGTCAACTAGCCCTGCTGAGCTCTACATGCATATTGTTCTCCATTCCTTACTCAATTCCTCTTTTCTAATCAGGCCTTTTTCTTTTGGGGGAGGAGCAGGGGGTGCCAGGGATTGAATTCAAGGGCATTAAACCACTGAGCCACATCCCCAGCCCTATTTTGTATTTTATTTAGAAACAGGGTCTCACTGAGTTGCTTACTGCCTTGCTGTTGCTGAGGCTGGCTTTGAACCTGATCCTCTTGCCTCAGCCTCCTCAGGCGCTGGGATTACAGGCGTGCGCCACTGCACCCAGCTAGGCCTTTTTCTTTTATTCTAGTCATATCCTTATTCCCATCTTGTGTCTTGCTTCTCCACTGTCAGTTCCCCTTCCAGTTCTTTGGCCAATTTAAATTTTAACACTTCCTCAGCATATTTAGAGCCTTATTAAAGACACAACTTATAATACATCCTTTCCTTTCAGGTGGTTTCTTAACTATATCATTCATTTTCCCTCTTAATGCAGACCTTGTTCTAGTTGTTGGAGCATCTGTACCATTCAAGATCCTGTGCTGGGTGCTGCCTACTGTTGTTATATAATTGCCATTATGTAGTATTTCTTCCTGTGTATCATATAAATTCTCTTAGAGACAAAGTAAACCTTTTGCAGGGTTGACTATGAAATTAATTTTAGTATATAGGAACCTGCAATCTCTTAAAATTTGGGGGGCCAGATATATTTGGGAAATTAGGTTACTTTTTGATTATAGAAGAATAATAAGCTACATATAACTTGATACTTCAATAACTTAGAAGGGTCTGGGATAGCAGTTTGTAAGCAAATTCACTAAAAAATTTTGCTGTTAAACATTTTTCAGTGGGGTTGAGGGTAGATCTTATAAAGATTTCTATTTCTATAGCAAAAAAATTATTCACACTAAAATGTGATAAAGACTATAAATAGTCATATATCTGTTTAAGTCAGATGTGATTTTGCTGCCAAATAAGATCTAATTGCAGAGCTGGAAAATGCCATTCCTCTATTATTCACTACTCTGAGCTGGTCTCCACTCCTCTTCCTGGGCTGTTAGCTCCAGCATCTTCTTTCTACCCATTCCCCTATACCATTTCCCTCATCTCACTCTTCCTTCCCTGGGCCTCTAGTGTTCTACTGTTTATGGTTTCTGGTGTGTTTTTGAGAAGCAGATATTTTTTCAAATTTCTAAAATCTCAAAATCCTTGCAGAGAGGGTATGATAGTAACATATTTACTGAAGAGCTTGGAAAGGTAGCATTTCACTTCTTTCTGTGATCTCATCTCTCAGGGAATGCTTATGCATAGTAAGGACCCAGGTGTATTCTGTTTCTCTGTATGCACTTCCAGTTTGAAGATAAGGTTAGACCATACCACATATGGCTGATAATACATTAAGTGCCACACTTCGGTTTTCTGTTTTATCCTCTCTATTGTGATTGGACAAAAGCAACATTGATTAAACAAAATGATGAAAAAATGGATGCCAGTTTGAATTTATGAAATTAGAAATTAAGCTTTAGATGGAGGTTCTTAATTACTAGGAGAAAAAAACAATTATCATTAAAATTTGAAGCTAAGGGGCTCAGTTGATAGAGTGCTTGCCTTGCATGCACATGGCCCTGGATTCATTCCCCAACACCACAAAAAAATTTTTTTTAAGTTAATGAACTTTGGCCCTTTTGGCATATAGGGAATACGCTAGATTTTCATGAAACAGTTTTTGTTAAGGAAGATAGTTACCCAAGGGGATAAACGTTTATAGTTCTCCAAAAATTGTGACTGTTTCTCTCAGCACTGAGTTGGATCCCTGTTGCCCACTTAGCCTAAGTGTTCTGCCCATCAGACTTCACCATGGCAGGGGCCTGATAAGCTCAGTGGTGTGTCAAAGTTTCCTAGTCATTACATATTGTACCTTTTGAGTGCTTATGTATTTTTTTTGTTTTTGTTTTTTTGAGGGAGAGAATTTTTTTAATATTTATTTTTCGGTTTTTGGTGAACACAACATCTTTATTTTATTTTTATGAGGTGCTGAGGATCGAACCCAGCGCCCCGCGCATGCCAGGCGAGCATGTTACCGCTTGAGCCACATCCTCAGCCCGCTTATGTACTTTTGAGTGCTAATGTCCTGTGCTCCTTATGAATGACCCTGGATAAGTTACTTTACTCTCTGGACCTTAACTTCCTCTTTTGAAATATGAAGAGATTGAAATGTGAGAGTCCCTTCCTTCTCTAAGATCCTGTGATTCAACTGAATAATTTTTATTTGATGTAGAGAGGAATAGCAGTATCCACAACTGAAAAATTGCAGCATTCAACAACAAAATCTGCTTGGGCTTCTAGAGTTTATATTCTGGTATTTATGGGATTTGTGAGGGGACAAAGAGAATTTAGAGTAGATTTATTCATTGCTACCATTCTTTCTTTCATATGCTCTTTAACATTTTGAGGGAAGTTACATCTGTATTTATTTTATAGAAGAAAAATGTGCATCTCATGCTAAACAATCCTAAGCTAGACATCAAGCTTCTTTACCTGTCCTGAGCTCCTGAGAAGGATCTTATCTGTGTATTGTGGTTTGGTCTCAGTTGGCACAGGACTCGGTATGCAGTGTAACTCTTCCTGTTCTGTTTTTTCAGCTTGGATTTACTTTTGGCAACGTGGTTGGAATGTATCTGGCTCAGAACTATGATGTAAGTGGCTGTCTTCATGTTTCATAGTGTCTTTTCTTTGTTGAGGTAAAGTGTGCACTTTTGGGTAAATGAAATCTTAAGTCTGAGGAGAAAATCCTGAATTTTATAGAAAGCTTTTCTACTGTTGGAAAAAAAAAAAAATTTTTTTTTTTAAATTTACAGAAACATCTGTCCTCCACATTACCACAAGAGGGCAAAATCCCATCAGTTTAGGTGGTCTCAGGATGATCCTAAGTAGTGCTCCCTAGCCCAAGTATTATTAATTTGTTCTATGGAAAATCATGTGATAGGTGAGAATTTAAAGATTGATTGGATAATCTTTTCAGTCCTAACCCAGTAGTAGAGATGACTGAAAATTCTGGAGATGGAACAGGGCAGTGTAACATGTTTAAGGACAGAGTTTGGTGAAGTGGGAAGTCATATTAGCCTTGCTTTATAAATGGGTAAGTTGAAAGCCAGAGGCATTTTAAAAAGACAAGCGAAAGAAAGATATTAACTTTTGATTTGTTTTGTAGTAAAGTTTTTCACTTTGTCAACCTTCATTTGAGTCATCTGGCTTTCTAGACAAGGGCTTTACTGCTTTCTATCACATTTATTATTTACATATACAACTTTTACTTGGCATCAGATTGAGGGGACTAAGTGTGTGTTCAAAAGGAGAATCAGGGTCTGGCTTTCAGAGAAAGAACATTAACTTACAACCTCTGCTATTTTTTGTATGTAGTTATGAGGCTAAGAAATACTGCTGTTGAGCAGATCTCCTTCATAGGAAAATAAAAACTTGTAAAACCACCTTTGGAGAAAGAGAAGTAAAAGAATATTGATTAGGTAGATACAATAATCCTTACAATAACCATTTTTCTTTTTAAAGATACCAAACTTGGCTAAAAAACTTGAAGAGATTAAAAAGGATTTGGAAGCCAAGAAGAAACCCCCTAGTTCCTGATGCCCACTCCAGCCCTACGTTCTGGATACTCTGATTCTGCCGCCCCTGAGGGGCCTCCTGTACCATCTGATCCCAAAGCTTTTGTTTTCATCTTTTCATCTCCAGCCACAGCAGTTTTCTTCTTTGATAGATCCAGTGTTGCCTCAGAGCAAAAGTGGGGCCATAAGTTAAGAACTACCCTTTATGTGTCCAACAGCCTTGCCTCTTCCCCCGCCTTTCCTTCCAGCTGACTGGAATTATGGTGCTAGTTTAGCAAAGTCGCTTCTCCCCTGTTGTTTGGGATTTCTACTACCTTTTGTCGAAAGAAAAATTAGTGAGTTTTTTGTATAGCTGATCAGATACAAATAATGCTAATTTCATAGTTTTGCAGTTATAATGGGTGCTTGTTAAACTAATTTGTTATTAAATTTTGTTGTTTCAAAGTAATTAAAATTAATATCTAGAATCCAGTTTCTGTTGAATTATCCACTTATTTTTACTGTTGTCAGGCAGCTCCATAGTTGATAATTCAACTAATAAATCAGTTTGCTATTCATGAACTGAGACACTCTATTCTAAGAATCTTATCAGTAACTGGGGAATTAAAAAATATGAAAAACAATGATTTTTGTTCTAATGACATTCACAGTCTATTTAGCATGCATGTTTTTCGTTAATGATGTATTTGATCTGACTCTTTTTCTTCAAAAGAATCATTCTTGGGATTACAGGTACATTTGACATTTTATCATGGGTAAGTGTCAAATTGTTGATAAAGGAAATGTTAAGACTTTTTACATTAAAAGATATATTTACATTATAACTTCATAGTGCTTCTCCTAAGAAAAATGTAGTTCCACGTATAATTTTTTTTTTTTTTTTTAATTGAAGTCTTGTTGCCTAGGCTAGTCTTGAACTCCAGGGCTCAAGCAATCTCCCCACCTCAGCCCCCTGAATGCTGGGATAACAGGTACATCAATATGCTGGCCAGTCTTTTTTTTTTTTATTTATTTAATTTTTTTTCTAGTACTAGAGATCAAACACAGGACTTCACACATGCAGGGCCAACACACTACAAGTACATCTCCAGCCCTTTTTTATTCTTTCTTTTCTTTTCTTTTTTTTTTTTTTTTTGTGATACTGAAGATTGAACCCAGAAGCACTTTCCACTGAGCTATATCCCAGCCCTTTTAATTTAAGACAGATCTTGCTAAATAGCTGAGGCCAACCTTTAACTTATGAGCCTCCTGTTTCAACCTTCTAAATCACTAGGAATACAGATATGCATCACCATGTTCAGCTTTTATTTTGAGACAGGGTCTTGCTAATTTGCCCAGGCTGGTCTTGAATTTGTGATCCTCCTGCCTCAACTTCTCAAGTAGCTGGGATTATAGGTGCCCCATTACTAGTTTGAATTTTTTTAATTAAAAATATTTTAGTAGGTAACTCTTCCAATGAGTGAAGATACAGAAGTGATTTCATGTAAATACAGGACCTGTCTCATCCCTATCCTCTTTATTTTTAGCTCTTCTTCCTTGGGCAGTCACTGTTACACATTCCCAGTTTACTTTTGAGGAAGAGTCTGTTCCTAAACATGTCTATATGCAAATGGTAACAAACTATACATAATTGTTTTTCTTAATGGAGCTCATTCTGTATCAGCATTTAAGGAACAAGAAGCCTTACTTCTTTTTTGGCTGTATACAGTTCTATTGAATGGATGAACCATAATTAATCTGTTACTAAAGATTGTTTAAATTGTTCTTTTCTATTACATTGATAACATAAAACCTAATGTTATTATGTATACCTCTGCAGGATATAGCTGTAAGATATAAGTCCTAAAACTATATTTACACTTATAGAGGTAAATATCCATTTCATTTTTTGTTTCAGAGGGCTTGTTGGGTAGCTTTGTCAGTAATACCTTTCTGAAGGCATTTTAGCAGAATCAAAACACTGGAAGGATTACTTAGAGACAACTTTTTTTAGTGATGACATCAACCCTATATGTGATTCCAAAATAAAGTGATTCTGATTTTCTTTGAAAACATACATGATGATAAATTTTATCCCTGTAAAGATCATCCTCCAGTGAGACAGATTAGGATCAAATTATGGTTTGGCTTCTCCCTTGCAGTGGGAAGTGGGCAAATGGCTTATTCTTTCTGAAACTCTGCATTAATCTGTAAGATTTGGATGTAATACCTACCTCATAGGATTTTCATGAGAAATAAATAATGTATATGGTGTGCTTTGCAAATTGTCCAATAAATAGTAGATATTAGTCCAAATATGTTGCTTTTGGTCAGGATATTTTTGTATTTCTGCAATCACTTTTGGAACCAGTGCATGAACATGCAGAATGTGGTGTTATTCTGTGGTGTTAGATATTGATGAAAGTTCACAGTATCCACCCTAATCATATTGCCTCACTCACAATTTGATCTTGAATAATCAGAATTAACTACAGCCTTGAAGAATGAAGGTCCACTATTATGAAATAGAAAACTTCAGGATTGATATTGGAAACTTAATAAGTACATTAAACTTGAAAGATTTAGATTTAGGCAGCAAAATAAAACCAAATTAATCATTTAAAATTGTCAAAAAAGGGCAGAATTCTATGAGTTGAGCTTACTACTTGACATCTGTAGGCTTTTCTTATTTGGTATTTTACAGAATTAAGCAGTTATCTGCTCAGTTAAAGGAGCAATGTTATTTTTCTAATTCAGTTTTCATCTGTATAACTACAGAGAAGCTGTGTGGCTTTCCTAGTTGTCTGGACATATTAGTTCGTATGTATATGTGTAATGTTTTCATTTCCACTGAGCAGTTCACGCCCTAGATACTGTAATGGTGTTTGTTTTTCTGCTGAGGTCTCCCACATTTAAGTGCTTTTTCTGAGCTATTCCTCTTGAAGGAACACTGTATACTATACTGGAGCAAATGAGACTTCTGAAACTTCCAGTCTGGGTTTTGCACGTAGCATTGCCATTCCTTATGCAGATGAATGGATTCTTTTTCTCCACTTTAGGGCGTTGCCTTATGGAAAGAAACAGGGCAGTGAAAGGAAAATATTTTGAGGCTTGCCTATAGGGAGTATGTGACACTTAAAATTTTAAATGTTCAGCTTATACTTTTCCTAAATTTGGTTGCAACATTCAGTTAGGTACAAAAGTCCTAATGGGTGGGTGGCTTGTTGTACAAGGCACTGGATAAGAAAAAAGAACTGAGAAAAGGGAGATTTTGTGGAAAGTGCCCACCCAGGGTGGAGTGTTGCAAAACCTGGGTCCTGGGCCTGTAGAATCACTGCCTCAGTGATAGGACTGTGTGAAAGTGGAGTCACACTGTCATACATGTACAGTTGTTCAGAACTGGGACAAAAGAAAGGTGCCATGTAAACAGTTGAGATGTGCTCAGCATTCCTTCAGTGAGGGCAGCCCCAGGGTAAGCTACCAGTGTACTCAGGGTCTTGGTTCCCTTTGTCTTCTAATGGTTTAAGCATCTTGGCAATATGGTGGGATGTTCTTAGAAATATTTTTTCAAACAATGTAGTCCCCACATGCAAATGGCCAACTATATTCATTTGGTATACACAGGGGATTTGTTCTAGCCCCCCTCCTCACTGCCATGGACACCAAAATTTGCAGATGCTCAAGTTCCTTATATGCAACGGTATAATATCCTCATATAACCCATAACATCCTCCTGTGTTCTTGAGATTACTTATAACAATACAATGTAAATGCTATGTAAATAATGACAGGGAACAAAGTCTATATGCTCAGTACTGATGCAATTTTTAAAAAATATTTTCAGTCCAGTATGATTGAAGCTACTAAGGCAAAACCTGTGGATACAGAGGACAGCTATACTTCATTTGATGTTCAGCTAAAGAAATAGGGATCTATTCTGACATTGAAGGGAAAAGTAGCAATTTTTAAAAATTGAAACATGGTGGCATATGAGTCTTTGTGACATGTAAATGCCAGTGTAAGACTGTATACCATGTACTTTGGTGACTTAAAGGAATTTTAAAGGCAACCTTGACTGAGCAAATTTAATATGTAATTGACTTGAGAATAAGATGCAACTAAGTGGCTCTCACTCTCAGTTTCATAATCAGGAAAATTACCTGGTATGAGATGATCATCTAAAGCTTTTTCATCCATGTACATTAAAAGATAAAAATCAAATAATATGAAGAGACAAGACTACTGAGAAGGGCTAGAAGTTATCCAACAGTGGGAGGACAAGGAGTTTTTTTGTTTCTGTTTTTGTTTTGGTACTGGAGATTGAACCCAGGGGTGCTTAACCACTGAGCCACATTCCCAGCCCTTAAAATTTATTTAGAGACAGGGTCTCTATAAGTTGCTTAGGGTCTCAGTAAGTTGCTGAGGCTGACTTTGAACTCAGTCCTTCTGCCTTAGCCTTCTGAGTCACTGGGATTACAGTCATGAATCACTGCACCTTAATAATTAATAACTCCTAGGCATTATTAATTATATCTTCCATTTCCTGTCACTGGAATGGGCAATCTCATTTGACTTGAATCTGGATTTAGGAAAAAATGGTACCGTTCTTAAGAGCAGCCAGTAGAACAGATTGAAACAAATGAGATTTCTAAACCAGCGGGTTGAATACACCTGCTAATGGAGCATTGGCTGCAGCTGCAGTGGGAAATTGGTGCCGCTTCCCCTTTAGCAGTGACTCAGGGTCCCAAGTAGCTGAACAGTGCTGAACAGTGGCCAGTAATCCACTTAAGTTCTAAGTCAACTTATTCTCTTTATACTTACACTCCTGGAATCTTACTGATTTTCTGTACCTTTGTCTTGTTTTCTGACTTGGCGTAGGGTCTGTGTAGGGTTGAGAAATATGATGATTTGGCTGCCTTGACAATAGTAACAACACCTGACCTTTGAAGCAGATTGATTGGAGGGATGCTGACTTGATCAAACCAGTTGTAGCATACCTAACAATGGGCATTTCATTTGATCCCTGAGATCTTTACTATTAAAATTGGCCAGATATCGACTAAGCTAATAAGCAGGACAAAAGCAGTAGCATTCCCAGTTAGACATGGCCAATCACATTTTGTATCCACAGGGGATTTGTTCTAGCCCCTCTGTGGTTGGAGTGTGTTAACTGGCACAAAAAACAAAAACAAACAAACAAAAAAAACCCAAAAACAAAAACAAAACAACTTTATAACTCAGACACTTGATAAACTAAAGGAGTGATTTTATAGATAAATTATTGTGGGAAAACTTCACATGATATTGACAGTATCTTAAAATTAGTTACTACAGTGCAAAACTATGGGGGACTATTTTTTCCTTAAGATGTATTAAGTAAGCAACTGATTGTTGAAATTGGAAATACTTAATGACAACAAACTTGGAGGGATAGAGAGCTATATCCAGCCATGCAACAAGGACATCTCATGAAAAAAATTGCTTGATCTACAGGAGGAATAAGGCCTTGCCTTGCAGAGTGATTCTTATTGGGAGCATTTATTGAGCAGGTACAGCTTACTACATCGTAGAAGTTGCCAGGGGAATTCAAGAGATGCAGGTATCTCCTTCCCCTCAGGGGACTTATCAACAGGAAAAAGTGATTGGCATGTTGGACCTTTGGGTTATACTTATGTACTTTGTCTTCTCAGGAATGAACTACTCATTAAATCCAGAAGCAAGCCAGCATGATACCAATAAAAGTGATGTGGTCTTAATTATAGTTTTGATCTCCCTAACAAGACAGGTATGAATGTTTTCCCTCCCTCCCCACCTGTAGCCAAGGCAATGGTATTTCCAGTTAGTGAGTGGAGAAAGAAGCTAATTCAATGTGTCTTTTTTCTACTTCCTTCTCCTTTGATAAAGTGAATGATACCAGCTTTTCTTCTAAAGAGGAAAACTATTTCTTTACAGAATTTGGTGTCAAAGGGGAGCCATTGGAAAGATGGAGAGATGGAGCCATTTTTTAAAACTGAATCAAGATAGTAATAAAAGAGGCTTTTTTTGTGAAGAGAACTTAGGATAGAAAACTTGAGATGGCTCAAGTTCTGGGTAAGGTTCCCTCAAAATAGAGTCGCTCTTTTCACCATCTGCATAGGTAGAACGATGTGCATATCTCCTTCAACTCCTAAGGAGCCACTACAAATAACAAAACCTAGTGAGGCCAGTCAGTTTGAGAGGCTTCGCCCTTCAGGGGCAATTAAGACAGGCTTTCTTTTTTTCCTGTCTTAGGAAGAGTAGATAGGAAAGACTGGACCCAAGGAAGACAGATCAGTTTTTAGTTTCTTGAGCTGTGATGCTAAGGCAGGTAGGCAGCCAGGAAAGAAGACATCAACCGCCCAGCCCATGCCTGTGGTGATTGCAGGGTCCCTGCACTTCAAGGTTTAGGTGGCAGGATCTTCTGGCACCGCTGCCTTCAGTGTGTTTCTGGGGCATGCTCCTGGTAATTTTCTTTGCCTGTGGTTCAGATTGTGCTCAGCGCAACTCCTTCAACTGAGCCAGGTTGTCCACTTGTGTTAGGCCTGATTGGTGATGTTATTGACCTTCGCCCAGGCTGGAAAAGTGTCCAGGTGGAAGAGGCTAACGCCCCAGGTGTTGATGGCCACCATCACTATCACCAGGCCAATGACATTGACTCCCAGGCCAGCTTTCACCTGCAGGACACAAGCCAGCACAGATCCCTAAGTGAGCGCTTCCTGGGCTCCCAGCTAAGCCTTGGTCCACCCAGGTGGCCCTGATTGTTCACTGACTGCCTGGGATGCTCAAGTGTTGCATTATGGGGTGGCACAGGACCGTGGAAGGACCAGAAAAATAGGAGGGATTAGGGCTGGATGAGGACAATTAGAATCATCTCCACTTCTTGCCTGTAGTCTTCCCTCTAGGAAGTGGAATCCCAGGAAGTCTGTTAGTTATTTAGGATGTTGAGAGTTATTTTTGCAGTGAAATGTGTTAACAAAATTAAACAGCTCTTTAAAGCAGGAACTTCTCAGAGCCTTATGTGCTCATACACACAAGGAACTTGCAGGGGTTATATTATATGAAGGCTTTGCCACTGTTACCTTTTTCCCTCGAGGAAACAACTTAGGGAAGTAAAGTGTCTTGGGTCACCTGGGGCAGCAAGTCAGCTGCCTCTGCTCAGCCCTTTACTAACAGCATCAGGGCCTTTGCTTCTTCCCCTGGGAATTTTACCTTACTGAGTCCAACCTGTATCATTTCTGAACTGTCATTGACACTGACAAGCTGAAGGGTGATGTGAGGGATGATGGGCGGCTAAGCCAGGGCCAGCTGGAAAAATGTGTACCGTGAGGACAGCCGGCATCCTTCCAGGGGGTAGCCAGGCACACAGCTTGTAGCTGAAACAGGTCCCCTAGCTGCCAGCAAGTTGGGGAAATTAAAGGGAAAAAACAGATGCTAGGAAATTATACCAAACAAATAAGTAGACATGACCTCTGTACTGCCCTCTGGCTGGAGCCATGGACCCCTCAATCAGGCTGGCTCCCTGGGTCTTTTGGCATGGAGAACAGCCTGTGCTTCTCAACATGTTCTGAGGAGCTAAATTAAGGTCCTTTAGAGCTGAAAGGGACCACAGGGAGAATCTAGTTGGAACCTCCTTAGTTAGCAGATGAGGAAATTAAAGCCTGGAATTAACCCCGCTGGTACTAGAACCCAGGACTGGCTTGCTTCTTGTCATTCAGTGCCTTTGACAAGGACTGTCTGTGATCACTGGATTCCAGTGTAAATGGCTAGAGGTGAGCAGTGGGGGCACACAACAGAGGAAGCAGAGGCAGAAGAGCTGGGCAGAGTTATGTGAGAAGACTGGGGAGCAGGAATGAGGGACAGCGGTGACTTCCTGTCCTTGAAATAGCACAGATGATATAGATAAGCAACTTGAATCTGCTTCCAGCCTGAAACACTTTCTTCTTTCTCTTCATTTGATATTTTACAGGTCTGCTGAGAACAAGTTTCAACAGTGAAAAATTTCTTTTTCACCTCAGGGTGACTGGCCTCTCTGTATCCGATGGTCAGGCCTCAGTCATTTCTATCAGTTTGTTTATCCTTTCCCCAACCCCCATCAGCTGGATATTAAGAACAGCAGTGAGTATTGGTTGAGGAGTGGTTGAGTCAGTGGCAAAATGGCTCCTCAAAGTCATTTTTTGTGAGCCCAACTGACAATTAGAAATAAAAAGTGGTGCCTTATTTTTTTCATTGTTGCTTTAGTGCTTTCTTACTGGGGAAAGAGTCAAGCAGAAGGATCCTGCTCTTACAAAACACATTCACCCTAGATTCATATTTCTTATACTCTATTTTCTGTGAATAAACCAGTGCCTTTTTCCTTCTTTTCTTTCTTTCTTTTGTGTGTGTGTGTGTGTGTGTGGTGCTGGGGATTTAACCCAGGGCCTTGTGCATGCAAAAGAAGCACTCTACCCCAAACCAGTGGCTTTTTGAATGAATGTCCCCAATAGTCCAATGAAATGGAGAAAGAAGAATGGAGAAATGGAGGCAGAGATTTGTGTAAGCTCATGGCTTCTGGAACTGGGCCACACACAGTGCCTGCACCAGCTTTTTCTATCCATCTGCCCACTTTTCTCCAGAACTGGGGAGAGCACATTATTGCTATTCTTAGAGCTTCTGTACCATCCAAGAACCTTTTTATGGGTGTCATTCTTTCTACCACAAAGGATAGGATGTTAACAGGTGATAGATACTGCTACAAAAAAAGAAACCTTGGGAGAAGGCCTGCAGCCAGTCTTGCCCACCCTCATGGTGGCTGAACCTGGCGGAAGCAGGCACCTGCAACTCACCATGTCTTTGATCTGGCAGTGCCCATAGCTGAAGACGATGGCATTGGGGGGATTGCCCACAGGCAGCATCACTGCAAAGGAGATGCACATGGTGACTGGGATCAGGGTGTAGAGTGGGTTAATGTGCAGCGTTTCAGACTAGGAGAAGAGAGAATTCACAGAAATGTTAACTTGGACATTAGGCATGCATTTCCTGTGCATGAATTTGTTTTAAATGATGGCACAGTGCAGTCTAGTCTTCACTGGACAGGGCTAGTTGGTTCCCTCCCCTGCAGGGCATGCGCTGCCCTTGGCAACCCAAATTGCTAAAGCTTTGAGGAACTTTCTAGAATGAGTATTTGATTTTTTTAATTTATGCTATTCTAAGGAAGTGGTTCTTAAGCCTTATTATTTAGTTGAAAAATCCTTTCTTCAAACAAAAAAAATCTCATTAATAAGCTGTTTTGATTAAAGCAAGTATCCCTCACCCTTGGGGGTATAGTACTGAGGGCTTTTTTTTCTGGGGAGGATAATTGTTTTATTTGGGATTCAAACCCATAGTATTGCTGTCACTGTTGTCAAGTTTTAAATGAGTGCCCTCCCAAGCTCACACACTCGAGGTGATAGAAGAAGTGGGAGACATCTGACCAATGGGCAGAGAGAGTTGACCAATGGGCAGAGGGGAGTTTGGGGTTAGAAGAGCAGGAAGAGGCTATTTTGCTAAGATGGGGAAAAGGCTTCCATTTCCTAGATTTCATCTCCCAGTGTGGACATATGCTGCATTGGGTCAAGTTCATTACCTGGCGGTTGCCCTCTATCCCTTTTCCATTCATAATCATTGGTCTGAGGTCATGGAATAAAGGACCTTGCTCCCAATTCTCAGAACCTTCTGGAGGAGTTGGGCAGAGATAGTAATGATCCTGAGAGCTGTGAGCTTGGTTTTTGCAGCTGTGTGTGCTTTGACTCCATTTTCTGTGGTTACCTCTTTGGCCCTACTGCTAGGTTTTTATCTTAGCAGGGAAAGGTTGATGAGGATTGTGGGGAAATGGAATTCTAGGGTTTTAAGATTGTTTTGTCTATTCTTTTCTTTTTTGGCAGTCTGGATAAAACCCAGAGCTTTGTGCATGCTAGGCAAGATTTCTACCACTGAGCTATGTGCCCAGCCCTTTATATTTTATTTTGAGACAGAGTTTTGATAAACTTGCAATCCTCCTGCCTCAGCTCCCAAGAGCTGAGATGACAGGTGTGCACCACCACACCTGGCTATTTGTCCATCCTCTTGTTTTCATTTTGGGCTGCCCCTAAGTTAATCTTTTGAAAAAGGATTTCCACAGCTCTTACTATGATTTATTAGTGTATCTTTTATTTATTAATTGCTATTTGAAAACTTTTTTTCAAATTTTGGTTTGAATACCAATCAGTGAAAGCTGTTGTGGGCAGTGACCAGAGAAGAAGGTACAGCCACAGAAGCTGCTTCCTGGAGCTGGCTTGCCGTTGCAGGACCTTGACAACTGTTTAGACACCTGGGAGCCCTGCTCTACTTACCAGGCTGCACAGGATGGGCAGGAAGATGGTGATGGTGGCTGGGTTGCTCACAAACTCTGTGACAATGGACACCAGGATACATGCCAGCAGGGTGACAGCCCATGGCGGCAGGCTGCTCAAGGATAACATCTGGTGCCCAATCCACGTGGAAAGACCAGAGCTCTGTAAGAAAAGGTGTTAGAGTAAAAAGGAAGGAGGAAAAGCACATTCCAAAGGGGTTCTTAGACTTCAGAGGGTCAGGAGAGCTGGCTGGAAGGAACCACCAGGATTCATCCAATACTATTTTTAATCTGACTGGAGACAGATGCAGTCCTGATTTTATGTTTAGATCATTTCTGTAGCTCAGAAATTTATGATTGTACAGCATTCAGTCTCAATGTCCTGATCAGTCGGCTGTCATGTGGTGTGCACAGCCACATCTCATGCTGTGATCCTTCCTGGGACTTTTTCTCAGCAGGGGTTGGAGATCTTTACCCCTCATCTTTAGCCCCTCAATATCAGTCTCATCCTATCTCCAGCCTCTGGCACCTTCACACCTCAGTGATGCCCTTTGTACAGAGTCCAGATGTAATCCTTTCTTATGCCTTTGGTACTGGGGATTGAACTCATGTGTACTTTACCACTGAGCTACATCCCAAATCTTTAAGTTGCTGAGGCCCTAGAAGAGAATGAAATTATGTCACTTGAAGGAAAAATAGATGGAGCCAGAAACCATCTTGTTAAGTAAAATAAGTCAAACTCAGAAGATTAAGGGTCATATATTTTCTCTTATTATGGAAACCAGAGAGGGGGAAAAAAAAAAAGGTAGGGGGGTATTTCATGAAAACCAAAGGGAGATCAGTAGAGGAAAAGGACCAAGGGGTGGGAGGCAGGAAGAGCTGGGGTGATATTGGACAAATTATATTGTTCTCTTGTGTGCAAGTACAGATGTGTAACAAGAAATCCCATCACTACAACTATAGTGCACCAATAAAAAATGTGAGAGAAAAAGTCTATTTAATGGGGAAGGAGCCTCCTCCCTGGCCTACAGCATAGTCATTAAGCCCCAACTGTTGGGTTCAGTTCCCATGATGGTTGACAAGTACTATCTTGTCGGTATTTTGTGCATACCACAGATATGAAGGCATATTGCTCACTCTGAACCTTTCCCATTAGCAATATTTGTACATATCCACTCAAATAAATGAATATTCCCACTTTGAATGATTCATTGGATTAGAAGATATTCATCTGCCAATGGTATGTCTCCTCTTCTAAAAAATGAAAGCCACCATTAAGCTTTTGAACTAAAAGCCCCCAGGTTGCCATATGCATTCGTTTCTCTTCTGCTCCCTCTTCCTCTCCCTTCTGTGATTGACATGCTCAGGCTCTTGCTGTGGAACCCCAGACTGCCAAGGCAGGAGCGAAATGGAGAGTAGGGGCAGAAAGCAAGGCGAGTTGTTTTTATGATTCCTCAAGCTAAAGTCCTGCTACTCAAATGTTACTATGCCTTCACTACGCTGTCAGCAAGCCACATTTTCTCCTCTTTCCCAAATTCATCAAAAGCTCATCTGATCTCTATGCTCCCTTACCAGCTCCCTGCAAGCTCACAGACAACTGTGATGAAAGATCTCCAGAATTCTCTCTGTTGTAACCATCTCACCTTGGAAACTTTTCTTCCTTTTTCTTCCAACTGACTGAGTTACAAACTGAATATGTGAAGACTGCATCAATCAATGGTTGGTACAGCACTTGCAGCTGCAGGAACTCTAATTATTCCCTCTCACAACATTAAACCTCACTCACTGGACAAAGGCAGGGGAGGAAGAGCAGTTAGTTGAGTGGAAATAGTACATTTTGTGAAAAAAAAAAAAATGGAGTTTTATTTACCAAATCATCCAAATAGTACTCATAAGTAAAGTGACATAATTTAATGGCAATTATTTTTCCAGCAGAACTCTTTCATGCTATAATTTGAAAGAAGTTGATAAATTAGTCTGCAAAGTTAGACAAAACAAAATGAAGGAAGTCTTAATTTTTTAAGCCCCTGGGTATGAGAACATTTCACATTGAATTTTCCTCACTAGTGTCAACTCTGAAATTATTTCAAACTCAGTAGGAGTCATAGATTGTACCTGAATTACTAAAGTTTAAAAATTGGCAGAATCAAACCTATCCAAATAGGTTTTACAGAAAAATCACCTATACTATCTGAAATACATATACAATTTTGATTTAAAAAGAAAGGTCTTGCTAGGCTAGACTCTAGCCAAAACTAACAACTGAAATTCAATAAAGATAAATATAATATCTTATACTTGGAATTAGAAAGGTTGACAGCACATATGCAGGATGGGTTGAAGGAATTCCAGTTTAATAGTGGCTACCAATGGGAAGGATGAAGGGTTGTAGCTGACGGCTATTTCAATATAAACATTGACTTGAGTGCCCAGGAAGCCCTGTAAAAGCTTCTATAAAATTGTAGGCTGGTGCTTACGTCAGAGGTGGGAGATGGGTTTGGTAATATAATAGTCCATTTTGTAGTAGACTGACCACCCTGGGCCATGTCTGAATAGGCCAGGGTAGGTAAACCACAGTGAGTCCTGAGGTGAGAGATTAGGATGGCAGTCTTTTCTGAGAATGGCTAAAAGAGTGAGGGAGTTCTAGTAGGAAAAACAGATTTAAAAACCATCATTTTACTAATTATTACCTAGGATAGGGTTCCAGAGAACAGAGCCAAAACCAACAATGATGATACATGGAGAGTAAAGAACAAAGTGGGATTTAAATAACTGTTCTTCACATAGGGAGTACCCTGTCATTAAGGGTGTCCAGGCCCTGGCATCCTGGAAAGGACTGTCACCTTGCATAGGAGATGGGGCTCAGTGTCCTCTGAGGATCCTTCCCAGTGTAGGATTCTGTGCCCTGGCAGTCACTGATACTCAGAATGCACAAGTGCAAGTGAAACATGTTTAGAATGGGCTCATTCATATGGACAAGGGAGAGAGAGAAACAGTCTGAACCTTAACCCAATTCATTCTTTTTTTTTTACACTGCTTTGTTTTGTTTTTGGCACTGGGAATTGAACTCAGGGGTGTTCAACCACTCAGCCACATCCTCAGCCCTTTTTTAAAATATATTTTATTTAGAGACAGGGTCTTGCTGAGTTGCTTAGGGCCTTGCTGAGTTGCTGAGGCTGGCTTTGATCTCTTGATCCTCCTGCCACAGCCTTCCAAGCTGCTGGGATTACAGGTATGTCCGGCTCCTACATTTTTTTATTGTTGCATTACAGTTGTACATAATGGTGTGATACGTTGTTATATATTTATACCTGCAAACAATATAACAATATAATTTGGCCAGTATTACTCCCCAGCATTTCCCCTCACTCTCTCCACCTCTCATCCATTGGTCCCTTTCCTCTATTGATCTTCCTTTGATTTTCATGAGACCCCCCCACCCTTACCTTTTTATTTTTCTTTTCTAGTTTTTGCATATGAGAGAAAACATATGACCCTTAACCTTCTGAGTTTGACTTATTTCACTTAACATGATGGTCTCTGGTTCTATTTTCCTACAATTGACATAATTTCATTTTTCTCTATGGCTGAATAAAACTCTGTTGTGTATACATGCCACATTTTCTTTATCCATTTATCTGTTGATGGACACCTGGGCTGGTTTCATAGTTTAGCTATTGTGACTTGTGCTGCTATAAATATGTATCACTGTATGAGTTGACTTTCATTCATTAGGGTAAATACTGAGGAGTAGAGTATGGGTCATATGGTTGTTCCATGTCTAGTCTTTTGAGGAGCCTCCACACTGATTTCCATAGCTAACCCAACTCATTCTTAGGACCGTTTTGTATTTCAGAGAAAGCACTTCAGCTCTTTCCCATCACCTCCATTAGAAGGGTCTTATTCCAGACGCTCCCAACTGGGAAACCAAGAAATCTTTACATCAGCTTTGGCAAAGCTTCTCTGAAACGTTCAGTCTATGCTATTGACCCACAGGGACAATCCACTGTATCACTTGGGCTAGTTTCTCAGCCCTTACAGACTCATCTCCTATATCACTGTCAGAGCCCAGGGAATGGCTACAAAATCCAACAAACCTTTTGCTTGTGGCAATGTGGGACCTGCAGAGGAGGTGGCAATACTGGTGTACCATGACCTGAATCACAGCTGATCTGTAACTGTGTTCCCTGAAGCACTGAGAAGGTCAAGGATGGACAGGACGTCTATCCTGCTCTGTTGCTGTCCATGCCAGTGACCGATACCCACCATCCTCTCCCTCAGCTTCTTTAAGCCTCTTCCCAGGGCTATAATGATTCTCTAGATAAAGCTTCTGGACTCATACTTGACCCTGAAGAGCAGAATTGAGGACTTACCTTGCTGCCAGAAGCCAGGGCATAGCCTCCTCCCACCAGGATGACAATCTCCCAGGGCATGGTTTTCTGGAAGTCCTTCCATGTGATGATGGGCTCAGACTGTAGGGAGGACTCCAGGCTTGTACCTAGATCAAAGGCAGGGAGAGATGGACGTGATTTATGGAGATTTATGGACATGATTTATGAAGATTTAGGGATCTCATGGGTGAATTGGAGGATTTGGGAAATGGCTGTACCGCTTTGTGGGGAGTCTGAAGGGCCTTGGCAAGCCTCCTTTGAATCATTCTTACTTGGGTGTTCTTTGACTAAAGCCATCCCCAGCTTCTCCCCCTGAATATTCCCTTACCGTCATTGTTTTTCCCAAAGCAGGGCTTCTTTGCTGGAATGAGGAAGAGGAGGAAGCCAAGGAAGACAGAGACTGTTGCATCAGTGCGGTAGCCTTTCCTAGCAAAGACACAAGCATGGCTGGAGGAGGGGTTGGGAATCCTCGGAAATATTATGAATAAGAAAGTCTGTCTGAACACGGTGCCTCTCTTTAGGACAGTCTAGAGATGACAGCAACCTGACTTCTTGCCAGTTGCTGGCAAGCTGTGCCACAGCGGATTCATAGTTCATGGTTACTGTCTGGAGGCCGTGCCTGGCTGGGTGAGATGTGTTAGTGTAAACTCATGGGCCCTTAGTTGGGGTGAGTCCTAGAAGTGATCAGGAGCCGTTGGATAAGGAAGAACAGAAAAGGCTGAGTCTTCTTTCCTGTGGGGCCACAGCTCCACCATGGTCTACCTGTGACCCTCCTCAAATGAGAAGTTGGTACTTGGAGACCTTGGGGCCTGTGGCTGGTCTTGGCCCTCAGAGGTCCTGGCATGGGATCCTGTGTGAACCTCTCCTTCCTCCCACAGGCTTCAGCCTCTCTGTAGTGCAGTCTCTTTACAGTTGGCACTTTTTAGACAGTGTCTAACACTTTGTGTGACAGCTGAAGGTCAGAGAGCCCATGTGAGAAGACGAAGGTCATACAGCTGGTGAGTAGTGGCTGCACCCCAAGCCCAGACTGGGATTCGAAATACTGTTTTCTTCCTGACTCCACACTGCTGCTTCCCTAGAGGGAGCAGGTTTCTCAGGGAATGAAAAGCTCTCTGGTCTCATATCTCATGTCTGCCCCTAAGAGCTGTGATGGACCCCAGCGGTCACTGCCAGAGGAAACTGGGTGAGGGATTGGTTCTTCAGGAAGAAACATCACTACTTACTTTTCAAAGAAGGAGTCCCAGCCAGGGACAAAACCAGGCTCCCGGGTAAACCACAGTACGGTCATCAGGATGAAGAAAAATCCAGTCACCATTTCAGGGTAGCTATAAAATCAAACAGAATGAGCCACTCCAGGAACTGGGGAGTTTGGTTTAGTTGTTGTTGTTGTTTTGCTTTTGGAAACTCCTATTCAGAGTTGCAATACTCAAGGCATAAAACATAGTCACTGCTTGCCACTAGAAAGGCTGGCAGTGATGCAGGAAGAAGACCAATCAAGCAATGCCAAAAAATAAACAGGAAGTTCACCACATGTCCTAGAGAAATTTAGGTGGGAAGGGAGAGACTTCAGCACTACCCATTTATGAAAATAATTTTACCTACACCCTACAAAGAGAGGGTATCGAAATGGGCATTGGACACTGTGCTAGCAGGAATTGAAATGGGTACAACATTTTTGAGGTCATTTGACCTCAAAGTATAGACATCAGGAGCCTTAAGTTTGGTCCTTCCCTTCATCTCAGACAGTAACAAGAAATGCTCACCGAAATATTACCTATTAAAAAAGAGAAACAAGCATTTTGTTTATCCAATGATCTCCTGTTGACACTGAATGCATTTTGGTACAACTGTGTGTTAAAATGAGATGCATCCGCTAATCATCATGTTTCCACAACAGAATTCATGACGTGGGGACATAGTCATAGTACAATGAAAAGTGAGAAAAGGCAAAATATGCAGGTATGTTCAGTATGAATTTTACCAAAAATACATGTACTGTTGCACAAAAAAGTATGGAAAGAAATTTTTTAAAAAATTTTTTTAGTTGTTGATAGATCTTTATTTTTTTAATTATTTATACATGGTGCTGAGAATTGAACCCAGTGCCTTACACATACCAGGCAAGTGCGCTACCACTAAGCCACAGCCACAGCCCCTGAAAAGAAATATTAACAGTTGTTTATACTTCCTGTGTTTTATAAATGTTCTACGGTGAACATGTATTCCTTTTATAACTTAAAGCTTTAAAAATAGTTCTCCCTGAATTGTTTACCCAAAGTTGTACATGCCAATAGCTATAAGAGGAGAAATAGCATTAGTTAGAATGCTGGGTCACTGTAGAAATGCTGATAGAAGTGGCTGAGCATTGGTTAGTGATTTCTTAAAACTTCTCTTTAATGCTGCCTTATTCTCTAAATAGCACCAAGCCTCCCAGTTCCCTAGGAGTGGTCACTGGCTCACTGCGGTGGCCCACTTGATCAGTGTGAGGAGTCCTAGTTTAGGAGGGGATTTGGCATGTTCCAAGACTGCCCTGTGCCATAGTTCTGTTGCTCTTTCCCCAGCTGCCTTGTCTGCGACACTCCACCCCCACACCACAGCTATACCTTGGACTCCAAATATAGCCAAAGGGAAGGGTGTCACTGCAGTCTGGGAAAGCTTGGCCTGGGCATTAAGTAGCATTTCAATGCCTGGATTCATAGATGTGGGAAACTCGCCCAATGTCAGGAACAAGGCTGTTTTGTGCTTCACTTTACTCGCTGTGTTTCTGTCCTGGACAAGGAAACAAGGGCAGTGGCTGAGGTTTTACCTGATGTCTCCCAGCTTTTCATATTCCTCTTGGATTCTCTTCTCTGACAACTCTTCCCTTTTGGTCTTCTTCTTCTTGCTCAGAGAACAGGTCTCTTTAAAGCTGAGAGGGGGAAAATGAGCAAAAGAGAAAACATACTTCTGAGACCCAGAGGAAATCAGATATCAAACAGTTACCAAACCACCAGTTTGCTGGGATGGCCTTTCTCCCCGCTCACGTGCACTGTCCTTCTGTTCATACAGCTTCTGTCTGCCTGGTTCCCCAGCCTTGCACCAGCCTCCCCCAGCCTCTTGGGTATGTCCATCTGGGCACAGCTCTGGTGTGTCTTATGCATCTGCGCAGGAGCATTTACATGTGGTTGTTTCTACATACTCATACATAAGGAAAAGAATCAGTGTGATTTGGTATGTATGTCTGCATGTGTGTGTGTCTATGCGTCCCACATGCACAGGTGTGTGTGTATGTGTGTGTGTGTGCATGTGTGCATTTATTTGTCTAGAGACAAGGCTTGTCTGGGGGAAAAATGGATGTGAATTTTATATGATACTATTGGAGTTACAGAAGTATACAGCCATCAGTGGTTTGACGACAGTCTCTGAGTAAAAAGAGAAGTCAGCTCTGAGAATATCCCTTGACCAGCAGAGTGTTGGGCTTCGTGGACTCTTAGCAAAACATCATATGTATCTTCCCTTTATGTGTTTGAAACTTTTCAAACTTGGAAAAGATAATTATGAAGAAAAGGATTACTAAGCAGATTAATATTAGAAATAATACTGTAAGAGACAAATCTAACTTGTTATTTTGAAGGATCTGTGCATGTTCCATATGACTCCCCCTATAAAATCAAACCAAAGGAAACTTCTACTTGGAGTCATATTTCTTTTTTTTTAATATTTATTTTTTAGTTGTAGTTGGACACAATACCTTTATTTTTATATATTTTTATGTGGTGCTGAGGATTGAATCTAGGGCCTTGCACATGCTAGACGAGCGCTCTACTGCTGAGACACAACCCCAGCCCTGGAATCATATTTCTAAAGAGTACTTGGAATAAATCTATATTCTTTGAGAGCAATGAAACTACATTAAACACTCTCCAATTCATACTTTTAATAATTAGTTGAAATTAAGGACATTTTACTTTAGAACAGAGAGTCATATAAGTCTAGAGCTTCTAGAGGAGACAAGATCTGGCTCCCAATGTGGTCCACTGCCTTCTCCTCAGGCATCCTGTTGGTTACTCCCTGCTTTGAGCACAGCCTTCCAGCAGTGCTTTGCTGGCAGGGCCTTGAGACTCACTTGCAGCCCAGGAACAGCCAATGCATCCAGAACCAGCTGACAACCAGCATGATGAGGGATATGGGGAAGCTGAAGAGGAACCAGGTGCCAAAGTTGACCACCTCTGCAGCTGGGTACTGGCTGGAGGGTAAAGACCATGTCAACAATTAGAAGAGCAAGGGTTTCCAAATGATATTGGGGGTTGACAGCTAAATACTCCCTAAGAACACACACAGCTGGGTAAGAGGAGAGTTAATGATTACAATATGATGACTCTACCTAGAAGTAATTAATTTGTTTGTTGCAATTGTACAAGAAGAAAGACAAGAAGAAAGAAGTAAGCCTAATACACACACACACACACACACACACACATTTAAGAAACTAAAATCAATACCACTGAAGTACATATCTTCTCCTGAGTACCCTCAGAATTACTCAGGACCTGTTTGCCCTTAATTTACATAATGGTTTTGAGAAGTTGAACTCCTGGTTTTCAAGACGACAGAATGGAGAGGAAAGACGGTGCACTTTGTCATAAAGCCACTTGAGAATTATAAGTGTTGATGGGGGGAGCGGTGGGGTGATACACTGCAGCCAATTCTAGATCACTGTGGGCTCTGGGACCTCATAAGGTTCAAGGTATGGATGGTGCCCATCAAAGAACCAGGACTTGGAACCTCTAAGCACATACATACATCAGCAAAATAAAAGGTGGGTGATCTGCTCACATGCCAAGAAAAACAGCCTGGAAGAACTGGGCTTGGTTCCTGCAGGGTCAGGTCTTCATTTTAATTTGTCTTTCCTCCCTCCTTCCACGCTTCCTCCCTCCCTCCTTCCATCCTTCGTCCCTCCCTCCTTCTCTCTCCCTCTCCATCCTCTCCCTTCTTTTCTTCCTTCTCCTTCCTGCCAGAAGGAAAGTCGGGCTCCTCCTGTGGTCCATGATCAGCTGGGCTCAGCTCTGGATCCCATCCCTGGTGGCATCACTGTCCATTACCCTTCTCCCCCATACTCCATTTCCCTCTCATCTGGATCGTCCTGACCAGAGTCCAGTGTCTTCCATCTTCAGACCTCTCCTTCTCTCTCCTTCCCTCTCTGCCATCACCCTACACCCCTCCTTCCTTCAGCCAGCTCTCCATTCCCTCACTTCCTTCTTACTCCTCAAGGCACCAAGATCTGGCCTCTTTTCCCACCACTTGACCAAACCCCTCTCACGTGGGCTACCTGTAGCCACCATGTCCCCAAACACAAGGGCTGCATTTTTACCCCTATTTTGTGTCATCCTTCATTAACAGGAAATATTGTAGCCACTCCTTGAAACACTTTCCTCCTGGGTAGAATGACACAGCTCTTCCTGGATTTCCCCTCTCCTGTCCCCTGCTCTCCCTGTCACAGTGTAAGTCCTATGGTTTCCATCACCAGGGGCAGATGAAAAGGTGGGCCTCTTGCTCAAAGATTATCAAGAGTTTCTAGAGGGACAGCCAACATTAAACCAAGCATAAGGCCACTCAGAGCACAGTGGCTTGGGTCACCAAACAGGCTGCTCATGCATGGTGCCAGCCTGCAGGCCGCGAACTCCAAATCTATTCAGCCAGAAAATTCTCTTGAGATTCAGAGTCATGCCCCCAACATCACACCTCAGCCTCTGCCAGCTTCTCCATTCTCATCTTTTCTCTCCAGTCCCCCCGCTGCTGAAACCAGAGGGCTGAGAGTCAGGCGTGGCCCTCCCTCCCAGGCTCCCCCTGATGCTACCAACACCGTCCAGTTATCTCTCTGTATCTCTAAGATCTGACTTTCTCCTACCTGCTGCCAGTGTTATCCAAGGCTACCAAAGCTATCTCTTGGACAATGGCAGCAGTGTCCTAAACTATCCTGTTTTCTCCTTTCCAATCTGTTCTCCATTTTTCACACAGCATGAGTTCTCGAAACTATAAACCTGGTCACCTCTCTCCCTGCTTAACTCTCCTTAAAGGGTTCTCACACCCTTTCCGGCTGATATCCAAGCTCCTTCTTAGCCCTTTGTCTCTGCCCATCTTCCTGCCTGGTCTCCTTTGCTCCGTCATTTACTTTTTTTTTTTTTTTTTAACCATTTTAATTTTTTTGTTTTAATTAGTTATACATAACAGTAGAATTGATTTATGCACTTTGATATATCATACATAGAGGGGATATAATTTCTCATTTTTCTTATTGTACATGTAGAATCGTATTGGTCATGTAGTCACGTATATACATACAGTAATAATGCCTGTTTCGTTCTGCTATCTTTTCTCCCCCCACATCCACTCCCCTCCCCTCCCTTCACTTCCCTCTACCTAATCTAAGGTAACACTATCTTCTCTAGTGCCCCCTGCCTTATTGTGAATAACATCCACATATTAGAGAAAACATTCGGCCTTTGGTTTTTATGTGCTCTTCTCTCCTGCCTCGGAGCCTCTTCCATGCTGTGTTCTTTGTGGGAAATCGCCCTTCATTTGGTGTGCTATGGCTCAGCCTTCAGGTGGCCATTTGTTGTCACCTCTGTGGGGAGGCACTTCCTCCTTGCAGAGCTGGTGAGCTCTCCTAGCAGAATTCCGGCTTCCCTGGTCATACTCAACTGCAGCAACTTGACGGTCTCTTTCCCTCTTGACTTCTGCCAGCACCTGGGCCAGTTCCTGACACCCAGTGGGTGGTTAGTAAGTATTGGTTGACTGAGTGAATGACTTACTTGTTGAAGTGTTCCAGGAATATGAGGCTGGTGGAGGTGCCAATGATGGTGGTCAGGCCGCCTATGGTCGCAGCATAGGAAATGCTCAGAGAGAGGCACTTGCAGATCATTTGGTCATGCTGGGACCTGTACTTTCTGTTCAACTTCTGATTCCTGGGGCTGGGGGTCAGGCCAAGTGGCTTTTCCTACCAAAGGAAAATCAGTGAGTATCTGCACCAGCTTGGGCTGTCTAGCACACAAAGCCTGACAGGCAGGAGGCACCTGGTATAGCAGAAAGGTTTTGAGCTTTGGAATCAGAAAATGAATCCCAGTTTCTATCATTGCCAGCCTGGACATGCCTCTGGGCTGCAGTTTCTTCTTCGGTACAATGGGAAAAATCATATTTTCTCTGCCACATTGTTGTGAGGAGTAAATGAACTAAATGAAATATATATATAAGTCTGTGTGTATGTGTGTGTATGTATGTATATATATACATATACATATATATATGTGTGTGTGTGTGTGTGTGTGTATATATATATATATATATATATCACTTTGGATATATATATCCAAGGAAAGTTAAGCAGGGAGTGAGGTGACCAGGTTTATAGTGATCTAAGTGACCACTTAGATCACTTCCTGATATTTAATGATCGGTAAGCTATTATGATTTTGTGTAGTTATTAATGTTATGAATACTGAGAGCATGCTTGTGGTTTTGTTTTTGTTCGCTTGAACTCCAGTAAAGCTAGTTGCTCTCCACATTGTGTTAGAACCAACAGAAGACGGTTATTCTGTGTGGAGTAGAGTGATAGTCCTGATGAAAACCTAGCTTCTGTGGGACGAGGTTTGAAGTGTGGGACTCCTCCCTGTCTGCCTCACTCTTTCCTCTCTACCTTCTCCTCCCCACCTTGCCTATAAGCCTCATCCTTGCCATGGTCCTCTCAGGCTCTGCTTGGTCCAGATAAGGGCTTTTCAGGTCACAGAGGTGATCTCTGGTTTCAAGTGCACTAAAGAAGGAAGAGTCTCCTCCCTGCTCAACACTTGGTCACCCTCCCTGATTCTTCATGAGACTTGGAGAAGCCTGGTGAAGATGTCAGCAGGTCAGATTATAAGAAAACCAGTGGGGAAGAGGCTGCCTTGCCATGTTTCTCATGGCCCTTAACCATTGCCCTCTCCTCCAAGGAGAGCCACAGGGAGGCTGGGCCCTTCCAAACCTCTGAAAGACTCACTGGTTATCAGAGCTGGAAGGTCCGCTTAGATTCTCTGGTTCAGGGAGTTTGCAGGATGATATATTACACATAAACCCAATTTATCAAACATAAAAGCATTTCATTGGCATAGATTGATTTGGTAACAGTCAGGGACACCTGGATTTGAATCAAGATGCTGCTGTCTCAAGCTCTTGGGCCTTGGGTTATGATTTCATCATTCTGTCTCATTTGCAAAAACATGGAGTTCAAAATCACTGCTTCACTGAGCCAAGACTGGGGAGAAAATGCTTGGTACATAATCAGTACATCATAAACGGTGGCAGTTATTGATGATGATGATGGATGTTAACTAATCAAGACTGTTTGGATGAACACAAAAATTTGAAATCAAGGTTGTGACAGTAGCCAATTTTTACTAGTTTTTACATTCATTTGGTATACAATTCATTTGTGGTATAGAACCAGGAAAGCCCTCACTTGTGCAGAAAAGCAGTTGCTTTAGTATCTCAGGATACTAAAACAAAGTATTTGCAGTGTCCCTGAAGCACCTTTGAGGCATAGTTTGAGCACCTATGGTAGACCAACCATCAGCATTTGCAGTTGGGAAGCCTGGGCCCAGGTAGTGGGAGGCCTTGATGGAGCCGTGTGGACCAGGCGCTTCACTGTCATGGTGCACAAAGGCCAGACATTGGTGACAGCTCATGAGCCTGAAGCCTTCACAGCCCCAGGACAAGTGCCATTGGGGAGCTCCAGGCATTGTGGGTAGGAAATAGAAGGTGGGATTCTGTTACCTGGGATGGCTGCTTCTTGTCTTGGCGTTGATTTGCTGTTCTGAGGGGGTTGGTGATTGTGGGCACACCATTCAGGTTCTGTTGGGACAAAACCCATCACACTATTAGGAAGAGGACGTGGTGAGGCAAATGCCTGAAGAAGTATTCCTAGCCATCCCAGGGTCCCCCCACACCCCGGCACCATGGGAATTGGGGACCAGATGTCAGGGAGGATGTGCACCTCACCAGGCCCATCTCCAGCCATCTTCACAGCTTCCCATCCCACCAGCATCAGGCACCCCATGTGAAGAGGCTTTCACGACCTGGCAGACATGGCTGTGTCCTTCAGGAGAGCCTGACTTTCTGGGACTTCATTAGCTAATGAAGAACTTCTTAGAATTTATATATATATATATATAATCTTCATACTTGCATCATTTTGTTTTTTATTTTTATTTATTTATTTATATTTTTAGTATTTTTTAATAGAAAGAAAAAAATTAAATCACACCACAAGAAGTCCACAGTTTTATCAGCCATTTGTGCTCCTCATGAACATCCATAAAACTGGCTTTTGGGGGTGGGGGCTGAGTTTGAGCAGCAGTGTACAAGTAAGCACTGCTCTCCTCTATAAATGTACCCCTTTATGTAATAGGACGTTATAAATGGAAGCCCCTCAGAAAAATCCTAAGGTTGAATTATTGGCTCTTGAAATCTGGATGGTTTTCATGAAAATTTTAAACTAGGGTTGGGTTGTGGCTCAGTGGTAGCGTGCTGTCTAGCACTTGTGAGGCACTAGGTTCGATTCTCAATTTTTTTAAAATGGTTAAACTGTATTTTATGTGGCTAAACTAGTACTCAGGGCTGGGGCTTGGACTATCCAGGACTTTGCCACAAGCTTGACTGGCTCTTATATCCAACCTGTGTGACAACCTTTTTGCCCTTATGTCCTTGGAGGCTGCTGGGATACAGGATAAGCTGACAGGTGTCTTGATGCCTAAGTTACCTTGAGGGACCTTCAGGTAATCTCAAAGCACAGAAAAAACACAAGGCCATACCTTGTTTTGCATCATAGAAGTGAAGTCTGCAGCTGACGTGCTAGAAAGAAGCAAACGGAAACCATAGTGGGCCATATTTCGTTATACAGGAGTTCTCTTCCCCATGTCGGGGTTTGATGTGAGGGACTTGACTGTGGACTCCAGTTTTCTAGCCGAATCGTCCTTGCCTTCTGAGATGCTGCAGGGGGTACTGTAAGATTCATGCAGCCAGAGCCTGCTTCCCCCCCGAGGGCAGAGGCAGTGTGCTTTCTTTGGAGTAACACTAACACTAGTAAAGTTATGAACATGCAGTGCTTGTCAGGTGCGAAGCACTTCACTGTAGACATTATTCCTTGTGACACCATTAGTCCTCACAACAGATCCTTGGCACAGGTGTCACTACCTGCATTTGCATCACTACTTAGCACTGGGATGTGAGTGGTGTAAAGACAGCTCCTAATCCCCTGTCACCTGATTTTTCTCTCCTCTTAAGACAGAAGCCTCTCCCTATCTCACAGGGAGCCTGTGCCCTGACCACATCCTTACTGGCTGACTTGGGAAAGGCCACTATCTAAAAGGAAAGACTTGTGGTATGTTTATCCGAGGCAACAGGAGCTGGGAGGGCCTGGCTGTATCCAGGGAAAAGCAAGTGAGAATGAGAAGATGGGGGGAAGATTTCTGATCACACTGCACATACTGAGTCCCCTGTGGGAACTGTGGATCGGCCAGCCTTTGCCAGAACACAGAGGAAGATGAGGACCATCAGAATTACTGACTCTCTGAGTCCTCGATGAGTGTTTCCAGTTTGTGAGGACAGCGGGTGCCACCAGCTCACCGACTGTGAAGCCAGATGAGAACACTGGGCACACACATGCAGGACATGATGTCCTGCGCCACCACCCATCTCAGGCTCTCACAGGGAAGGAGAGGAGGTGACGGAGGTTTGGAATGATGCATTCTTTGGAAAACGTGCCATTGTGTTTCCCTCCCTTCTCCCTAAACTGGCTGTTGAGGGCAGGCAAGGACTTCTTTAGACTACAGGAGAGGCTCTGCCATGCGAGAAGACTGCCAAACAGCCTTAGCATCCACAGCACAGAGCATGCTAGGAGAGGTCAAATTGAGCTTTCACTTTGGAATTTGGGGACACAATTGTACATGGAAAAAGCAAACAAGTTGGTGCAAAAGGGCAGACAGGCCAGACTGAAGAGAAAAGACCCACCTTCACTAGAGCAGTGTGAGCTCTCAGTTCTACAGGGCAGCTGCTGCTGAATCCTTTGGGAGCAGGGACATATGGAAGGAAGCTGGGCAGGTGCCCGCTGGAAAAGGCAGAGGCAGCCCAAGAACCAAGGGGCTGCAGGGGAGTGAGTGAACCAAGGAGGGGAGCAGTGGTCATCCAGCAGCAGTCCAGGCTCAAGGGGATGAACTCCTGAAGGTGGGAGCCCCACAGTGAAAGAGGAAGGTGTGAATCTCAGAGAGGGCATCAACCCCAGGCTGCCCTGGCTCCAGCCCAGACCCTCTGTGCCTGCACCCTTCAGCCTCTGCCCCAGCCCAGGAGAAGTCAGAAGCAGGAGAGTGACAGGGAGCAGGGGAGGAGAAGATCAACTCCCTCCCCAACTGGCTTTCAGCTCTTCTGTAGGCTGGGCCTGGACACAAGGGGCGGGGGGTGGGGGGAGCTGTGGACCAGAGACTGCAGTTTGGATAAGAATCTGACCAGACTGCTGAGCATCTGAAAATGAGATCACTGTATCTAAAAGCCAGAAGAGGGAAATGGTGGGGGAGGGAAAGCCAATGGGCTATGACTGAGGCAGTGGAAGAGAAAAACAAAACCATTTTCTGTTGGTATCCTCTGTCATCTATCCCATTATGCTAATTTCACACAATGTGAGATTTTGATTTTTTTATGAAAAGGGCAAATTACAAAGCCCAGCTCCCTTACAAATCCAGATTTTAAATGTGTAATATTTGTCACAGAATACCTTGAAGATGACATTTTCATACAGCATCTCCAAAAGAAATAAGTTGTTAATGGATCTATTTCCCATAAATGTTTGGCTAAATTTTTCCTTTCCCACATTTCCTTTTCTACCATTACAGGACTGTGTCACCAACTGGTTCCTAATCCCCTGTCACCTAATTTTTCTCTGCCATATCTAAGATCAAATCTAGTAAGACTATATCTAATATCTATAAAATATTCTGTGATTCTCCAAGAACCTCTAGTAACATCTATTGTATGTTTTTCCATTAAAAAATATTCTTCTAAGAGGACATCAATTTAGATGAAATTGTACCTGGTGGCTGGATTGACAGTTCCTATATCCACTCAGATTCAGTATTGGTCTTTCTATTTCTTCTCCATCACTGCAGTATTCTGGGGTTAAGGGAATTGCCCTAAAAATCTTGGCGAGTGACTCTGAGGGATGGAGAGAAGATGGTGAACTTGGCCTAGACATCTAAAAGAGCTATTTATAGTCGCATCTTTCCTGACCTCTCCAATGGGAAACACAAGGCTCTGTCTGGGGAGAGGACAGTCATACTCACTCTTCATTGACAAAGATGAGTTCCAGAGATGGTTGGCTGTTTACATCGAGACCTACAGGGGCAAAGAAATGTGAGAAATGAGATGTGGTGCTGAGCTGACACCTGGGTGGAAGAGCAGCCAGGGATCGGGCTGGGCAGGGGGTGTTCTGGGTGACGATCCCCCTTCTCTCTGCTCTGATACAGTGGAGCTCATAGACGGAGACAAAGCCCTCGGCTTTGTAGTAACTCCTGAGCGTCTTGGGGGAAAGAGCAGAGGGGGATGCCCATAAGTGAAGGAGGAAGGAAGAGCTGGCGGGGGGTGGGGATCAGGGAAGCTCCAGGTTATAAGAGCTGGTGTGGAAGAGAGGGAAAGTGGAAATGAGCGGGTTATGGGGACAGGCACCAAGCTGGGCAATATCACGAGAGAAGACCGGCAGGGCACCCGGGGGGAGGCTGGGGGAGCAGAGAGGAGATGAACTCCAGCAAACCGTACTCATGGGCTCGGCCTCTTCGGCGCTGGAGTTGCCCGCCACGAGCTGCTCCTCCTCGGCACTGACCAGCTCCTGCAGCACGGCCTCCACGATGGGCATCACCATGGCCGTGGTGGAGGTGTTGGAGAGCCACATGGACAGCAGCGTGGTGCAGCACATGAAGCAGAGCAGCAGCCTGGAAGGCAGGGTGGCCGGCAGGGCGTTAGCAGAGTGCCCATCTCCCCGGCCAATGGCAGATCCCGCAGAAACCCCCTGGGGCCTCCTCCCTACCTCACGGCGTTGGTCTAGAATCTGTAGCCGGCTTTTACCCACGGGGCCATTCAGCTTTGTACTCCTAGTGCTTGGCACTGAATGAGCCTTAATTGCATTATTTGTCACATGAATGAATCACACTTCATGGGCTAGTGACCTTAGTCAGGAAAAAGCCTTTACTTAAGCAAAGTAAGCTCACATAGCTTTGGTAGAAGGTCACAGGGTGTGGACCTACTGTTTGCTCGTCTCTCCGTGTGGATATTATGTGGAGCTTAGCAATGTGTTTCCTGTGTGTAAGGGAATTCTTGTTCTGTTTCTGGTGGTGCTGGGGATTGAGCCCAGGGGTGCTTTACCATTGAGCTGCATCCCCAGCTCTTTATATACACAGGGTCTCAATAACTTGCCAAGGTTGCCCTTGAATTTAGAATTCTCCTCCTCAGCCTCCTGAGTTGCTGGGATTACAAGTGTGTACCTGGCAAGGGAAATCTTCTGCCCTTGTAGCCAGCAATTCTGTGTACCATTGTATTTCCTACTTTGCAGCCAAGTCACCATAGTTGTTACCAAATAGAGACTAATGTTAGGGGCTCACAGTTTGCCCACTACACATCCCACTGTCAACATGCTAAAAGTGTGGCCCCAAAGTCACAGCAGTATTCCATACCACTGTGTGAACTCTTTCAACTGGTATCTAAAAGAGTCAACACTTGGAGGGAAACACTAATGAAGATAACCTTCAAATGCTTTCTCTTTGACTTTGAAACACTGTGCAATATGCCCAATATCACCTGTGTTTGCGATTTTAGGTGGAATCATTGACTTCACACAATTTCGGGAAGTACACTTGTCATGTGATTGTGTGACAAAACAGGGGCCTATCCTGGGGGTGCTCTGTTTAGGCTGACAGCAACGTGAGTTTTCTGGCCTGCACATGCCCTGGCAACTGGGTGAAGACTGAGCAGGGTGGGAATGTGCTAGGTGATGTGGTATGAGGGAAGAGTGGAAACACAAGTGGACAAAAATTCTTGAAGACAGTACACAGAGGTTTCCCAAAGCCACAGAGTCCCATCCCACCATGATGTGGGGGAACAGTGTCATGGGCCTAGGAGATGGAATGTAGGGACAAGATAGCTGGGGAGGGGCAGTTAGCAGTCCCAGTTGATGATCTACGAGACAGGAGCATATGCGTAAGCAAAGCCTATGTGTCTAAGGGACTGATTTTGAAAAGTAATGATATAAATGATCTATTTCTATGCCCACTCCCAAGAGTCAGTACACCTTCCATGACATGTAATAGTTGTAAACCAGAAGAAGCAAGAAGGGCTGACACAGGAAGGTGCCCAGGGCAGCAGGAGGGAGGCTTCCCCAAAGCACCAACTGCGACATTGCCATGCATGCCTCCAGGGGCCAGTCTCTCCCACGTGGCCTTCTTGACACAGTGGAAAGAGGAAGCAGCTGAGAGCTTCATCAATGCAACATGTCTAATGCGTCTGCTCTGAAGCCATAACAAAAACTGGTGGGCGGATGGGAGAAAACATCCACAGTTCCTTAAATGGCAGAGAGGACGCCCACTTCCTCCTCCAGCCTGCTCCCTGATAGACAGAGAAAGGTTGGCCCCTGTATTACCTAATGAGCCCCTTGTGTGTTTTAACCCGCTGTCTTTGCAGTCTAGGTTACCAGGTAAGTTCTCTGGGTTCTGCTGACAGTGACACCAGGGTCACTGATTCAAATCTATATTCCACGGCCACAGGAACTCTCATTGATAGGGGATGGGAGCCCCACAACTCTAGTATTACCCTATCCCCACGAATAGAACGACAAGCTACCGTGAATGTCCCACTGCGACCTGACAGGCTGGACGTACTAGGTGTCCCGAGTACGACTCACATGCCCGGCTTGGCTCCAGCCATCAAGACCATGCGCAGGGCGATTCTTTTGTGCAGGTTCCACTTCTCCACGGCGGCCGCCACGCAGATGACACCCACCAGCAGCAGAGTGGTGTTCTTGAAATACTCGGCTGCCACCTGCGGGGAGGCCCAGGCAGGTCAGCTACTCTCCCAGACCCAAGGCCTGGCCAGTGGGGAGAACAGGTAGTGCCCCAACTCCTTCATGGGCAGAGGCTGGCAAAGAGCCAGCAGAGAGGGGAGCGTCATCAAATAGCTTTTCTTGTGGTGCTGGGGGTTGAACCCAGGGCCTTGTGCAAGCTGGGCAAGTGCTCTACCACTGAGCTACACCACCAGCTGAGATAGCTGATTACTTTAGAACAATATCTGCCCAGCACATACCAGGCAGTCTCTGTGTGAGCACTTTACAAAGATGATTTCATTTAACCCATCCGATAAACCCATTGGTAGATATTGACCTCACGGGCACTTGGCCACAGAGCCACATCCCCAGCCCTATTTTGAATTTTATTTAGAGACAGGGTCTCACTGAGTTGCTTAGCGCCTCACTGTTGCTGAGGCCTGCTGCCTCATTCTCCTGAGACTCTGGGGTACAGGCATGCGCCACCACACCAGCTTCCCAACTTTTTAAAACATAATATTTGTATTTAAATTTGATGTGAATATGATTTTAAAGAATAAACACATGGATAATTTTATTTTACTCTTTAAAAATTATTAAAATAAACTTAGGTTTATATCCAAATCTCATGTTTAATGTTTTTAAAAATATTCAGAAAATTTTCCTATTTATAGGAAAAAGAATACATGCTCAGTATGGAAAACCTCAAAATATAGAAAAATTATTCTACTTTTGTTAATAACTTAGTATTTTCCCCTCAATTCTTTTTTTCCCTATGGCTATGTAGATACATAAATGGATTTTCACATTATGAAAAGTATATACATTGCCTTTTTTTTCCCATTTAATATTATACCCTGATCATTTTCTTTATTTTTTTTCTGATCATTTTCTTATAATATTTAAATTTATTGGGAAAGTTTGTTTTAATGGCAACATAATTTACCATGGAATTTATTTAGTCATTTTCCTTTTGTTGAATATTCATTTGTGCTACAATGGAGCAAAGAATGATCTTCTGACATTATTACCCCATGTACAAATATGACTACACAATCAGTGGGATTTTATATCATGTACAACCAGAAGAATGAGAAATTATACTCCATTTATGTATGATGTGTCGTAGTGCGCTCTACTGTCATGTATAACTAATTGGAATTTAAAATATTTTTTAAAAAGAATGACCTTCTGCATAAAATATCCTTATGTAAATGTGATTGTTTCTCCTGGATAGACTCCCCCCTGCCCTTCAGTACTGGGGATTGTCCTCAGGGCTTTGGGCATGCTGGACAAGTGCTCGACCACTGAGCTACATCTCCAGCATCCCCTTTTTTATATATATTTTTACTAGTTTTGATGAATTTTTAAATTTTATTTATTTATTTGTATGTGGTGCTGAGAATTGAACCCAGTGCCTCACACATGCAAGGCAAGCGCTCTACTACTGAGCCACAACCCCAGCCCCTCCAGCCCTTTTTATTTCTTATTTTGAGACAGGGTCTTGCTGAGTTGCCAAGGCAGGCTTAGAACTTGTGATCCTCCTGCCTCAGTCTCCCAAGTTGTTGGGATTAGAGGCGTGCACCACCACGCCCACTAGGAGTTATTGAAGGTGTTTTTATAATTTGCCTTAATTTTTTGTATATACATTTTAATGAATAAGAGAAAGCATTGCCAAATAAGGAAGAAAGTTATAGATGATAAAAAGGGAAGAAAAGAAACATTGGATTATATGTAGTTGCCAGAATCTTGCTTCTAAAAGGGAGCACAAGGACACTCTCTGTCCAGTGTTTTGCTGAGACCTGAGAGATGGACCTAAGCATGCCTTATGCACCTAGGAAAGGGCACCCTCGGGGAGGGAGAGGCAAGTCTAACAGCTCCCTATGGACACTTAGTTCCACACACCATAGGGCACTTGGGGCAACATTTGAACTGGTGTTTTGTACTTGTTCTGTTGTTTGGTCAATTTTTTTTTTTTTTTATTTCTTACTTTTCAACTCAGTTTTGCACTGCTAATGCCTAAGGACCTTTCTTTATCCCTCTCTCTCTCTCTCTCTCTCTCTCTCTCTCTCTCTCTCGTACTGGAGATTAAATCCAGGGGCACTCGACCACTGGGCCACATCCCAGCCCTATTTTGTATTTCATTTAGAGACAGGGTCTCTCTGAGTTGCTGAGACCCTTTGCTGAGGCTGGCTTTGTACTCATGATCCTCCTGCCTCAGCCTCTGGAGCCGCTGGGATTACAGGCTTGAGCAACCACTGCGGGGCCTTTTCTTTATCTCTTAACACCTTATATCCCAAAGTAGATACTCAGTAAATATTTCACGTACACGAGAATTGCTCCTAGCTGGAAGGAACATGACAGACATTGAAAGAAAAATATATAGAAAAATTAAACTTCTAATTTAAAATTCCTCTTAAAGGGAGAAAACAAAAAAATTAACTGCAGGAAAGATAAAAATGGAACAAAAGAAGGAAACTAAACATAGTAAAATATGTGACCAATATTTGCATAATCATACCAGTATTACATTTTGATGATTGAATTTACAAAAACTGATATAACTATATTGGGGGGTGGAGGAGAGGCAGCAGAGGATGTAAAAGAACAAAATTGTCATCTGTCCTCACAGGAAGTCAACCGAAAATGTCTATAAATGACGATTCAAGAACTAGTGCAACAATATCACATAGGAATATGGAGCTTAATGCCAGAGAAGCAGGTAACAAAGCTGAAAGATCCTTAGTCTGAGGGCAGAGTGGGGCTTGAGGGGGGATCAAGATGGGGAAGGGCAGATTATTCAGTTTTTAGGCTTCATGCATGTAACACTTTGATAACATCAAAGCCATAATAAAGTCAGGCTGCTCCATTTCTCCCTCTCTCTTTTGCCCCATGGAAATTTCATTGCATTTGGTTGATGAGATCTATGCAATGGGAACATCTGTCCTCTTTGCGACCATTTCCTGGGAGAGGAGTTCTCTGCATCTGGCTAACCTAGATCTTGTCTCCAGGCTTATTCCTCAGCTGACTATGGTCGTCGAGGCTCCCCAAGAGCAGAGGGACGCCCTGTGACTCTGGGGTCCAGGGTTCTGGGTGAGGGGCAGTGTCATGAGGGAGATGCTGCCCTCTAGCTAGATGTGGGAGCTGCTGGGATGTCGCGGTGGTGGCTGGGAGCCCAGGACCCTATCCTTGCCAGGTTTCCCTCTCAGGCTTGCAGGAGGCAGCTCTGCACCAAGAGGGCTTTACTGTCTGTCTGCAGAGGAGGGAACCCACAGCGTACTTCTTGGAGATGGCTCCTCCATCATGATGTGTGTCTGCTGTGAAGCTATTGAAGTCAATAAGACCAGAATTACTTTCTTAGGGGACTGATGACAAAATTTAGTTTCCTCCCTCCTTGGCACGTATCATTCCAGGACACCAGTTTGTCTGTGATAGCCTTTTAGGAGGCTCAGTACCTAACAGCAGGTGTGGCTATTTCCTGTGGATTCTGCTCAAAGGGAAAGGAAGGCACCGCGGAAAGGAAGGCACCGACAGGTGGAGATCTGGGTGCCAGGCACCCTGCAGTTTGCATTCACTTTCTCCTTTGAGATCTACCACAGCCCTTTGAGGCTGATGTCTGACTTACAGATAAGGAAGCTCAGAGAGGTGAAGGAACATTTCCAAGGTCACAGTGCAGGGGTGGAGGTAGGATATCAATCCAGGTCTGTCTGAATCCAAAGCCACCTAGACAATCTGGAAACTGGTTGGGACCAGAATTTTCTTGGTCAACGGACTGCATTGACACCTATTTCTTATCTTCCATAATTGCTGTCCTGAGGCTGGCCCTAAATGCCCAGGGCTTGGCTAAATACGGCCCAATTTCAGTGAGATATTGGCTCTGTGCTGTTTTCTCTTTGGGTGTTTGGTGGGTGAGAGTCTATTCATATGCCCTTCTTGCTGTCTGGTGTTACCATGTGCTTGGGAGATGCAGCCTGGCACTCAGGCTGCAGTTTGTGATTATAAAGTTAGCATAGTCCAGTGGGAAAATCAAGGACTGCAGAGCCAGCCAAGTCTTGGCTGTGTAAGCCTAGGCATGTTATTCAACCTCTCTGGGCTTCAATTTTCTTATTAAAAAAGAAAAAGGTTATGGGAGGCCCTACTTTGTAAGGTTGTCACAAACATTAAGTGACCCAGCTAACATGGCTTGCCATGTAGACAGCCAGGATTTCTAGAGACTCTTCCTGTTATTAAATGCTCCCCACAAAGGCTGATTTGGTCTGAGGCCATTAGCACACAGTGGGCTCAGAGCAAAGCCACAGGGCTGCCTTTTCACTTTTATAAATTAAAATCCCGCACAGTGGTGTTGTTTGTTAGTTTTCTAGCCCATTGATTTTTCTCTCACAATAAAACCTTGCTTATTTAGAACCCCCCAGGGAACACCAGAGTCCCAGGATTGCTGAGGATTATCTTAATCATTTTCTGAAATGTTCTGCCTCCTTCCTGCCTTTATTAACAGAGCCCGGGCATTCTCCAGCCTCTTGCCAGCCCTCCGAGATGGCACCCTCAGCCAGCAACTCCACGCTGCTGCGCTTTCGCTAAGCTACCCGTCCAGGCTGCTGCCGTTCCAAGCCCCACATCTGCATTTTATGCTTTTCTGTGTCCTATAGTTAGGTTGCTGCAGCTGTTGCCAGGATCCTTGCCCTTAGCAGCCCTTTCCCCACTTCTAATATCCTATAATCGATATTCTGTGACTCAGAAGCCAGATAACAGAGGATGCTTGAGTTGTTTGTGAAGAGAAGTTGGATTCTCAAGGGGTGCTCCTCCTGGGAGTCAAGTGCAGGGTTTCGTGACATTAGGGTTTGCACCTTGGTTGCTTTTTCCGCCTTTCTTCTCTGTGGTTTTCTTAATGTGCCACGTCACTGAACTTGGAGAGCACAGGGGTAGCTGGGCTGTGTTTTATAAAAGATGGGTTCACGGAGGCCACCTTGGAAAGGTGTGTAGAGTACAGCAATGAGGAGCA